TTTTTGAAGATCCTTCAAAGTAGAAGATTTTACAAAACTTTCCAGTGATTCTTCACATAGGTCAAGTATCAAATAGACATATTCAGTTCCGTTATCTTGTTCTAAGTAAGAATAATTTACAACATACTCCGACTTCTGTGCATTGCTTTCATTGAAAATTGTGTCTTCTTGCAGAGCAAGATTGTTATCTCGTCGTATTCGTTTCACTGCTCTACCGTAACCATCTTTTCCAAGTCCAAGATAAACACGTGTTCCATCACTTCCTTTGCCGATACAAAATTCGTCAGAGAAAATTACACATACATCACCCACATATTCAACCTTGATGCTGGGATTGCGCCCATACTCAACAAGTTTTTGGAATAATTTTTTATGTTTTGTTGATTCACCAAGGTATTTCCATTCTTGTAACTGCAGTTCTGAAATTGAAATAAAAGTATTACATTCACAGAGAGCAAATGTGCATAAATAATCAGATGTATAAAAGTAGCTCAAGCTTCTTTTTATTGCATTGAGGATTTTCATACAAAGTGAACATTTAAAACTACTTTATGAAAAACCATCATCAACAACTCATTCAAGCCAGTGACATAGGAAGGAGGGCCCGTGTCCCCCACAACTTTTAAGTTTAATATAAAAATGATAAAAATGAAATTCATAAAATGATAAAAATATAAAATTAAGGTTAAGTAAAACGAAAACAATCAATGAACATATTACTAAAAAGCTTTCTCATTAGTGCAAACTCTCTACCTTTTTCGTTCTTTTTCTTAATGATTTCTTGTAACTTGGCTTCCATCGAATTTCTTAACAAATAACGCTCTTCTTCATCGTATATTTGTATCAGATATTCCATAGCCTTCTCTTGTTTTTCTATACCTTCATCCTCTGGGACAATCCCCAGATACATTTCATAAATATCTGCTGCTTCCCTATATTGCTCAAGTTTATCAAACAATTCTGCTAATTCCCATAAAACAGCCAACACTCCACTGACAATTCCAGCTGAAGTAACAATCGACAAGTTCTTCAAGTTATGTTTAACGAAATCTTTACTAACGTTAATACCACCAACCTTTCTTGGTCGTCGCGGTCGTTCACGCCGTTTATTTTGTTCTTGTTGATTTCCTTGTTGATTTTCTTTCCGTTGTCGAGGTTGCATTTCTTCTTCTTGGTGTTCACAATCAATAAAAGAGAATCCTTTTCTATAATGCTCCAAAGATTTCTCATATTTTCCAAGCGACTTGTTCAATCCTCCCAGTGCAATATGGCAAAGACATTCCACTTCATCTTTCTTTATGGCTTCTTTTAATCTTGTAGCGGTAGAATGAACACTTCCCAGGCCAAGATAAACTTTATGTTGAAAATATTTAGTCTCTACTTTGGAAGAAAGATTTAAACAAAGATTAAAATAGTTCAATCCTTCCTCCAGTTTATTAGAGAGGGTATAAGCGTTACCAATACTAAAATATGCCATCATTTTGAGGCTATTCTCGTTAGCAACATTCAAACATCTTTCGTAGTGTTCAATTGCCATTTCATAATCACCATTATTCATACTACAATTTCCCTCTTCCAAGAAAGTCATAGCGACTGGTTTTGTGCTGTACATGCCGGATTTGTTCTCGTAATCAAAAGATCAGCCTGTGTATTAAATCCGACTATTGATAGTTACATATGAACAGAAAACATTCTTCGATGGAAAGCCTTGAGCTAAAAACGACATAAATAACTTAAACAATACAATTGAAAACAATATATGCGTGTAAGCAGAGCGTGAATGTAGAGGTAACGGAAAAAATTCACAAACTACAATTTTATCCCGACAGGTAAGTTTCGTGATAACTCAATCTCCAATGGATTTAAAACGCACTCCACAGAGTCTCAAAAACAAAAACGCCGGCGAGACATTCTTTGTTCAATCTACCGTACAGTAAAAATGTGAATAGCAACTATAGCAAGAGATTTTTTTAACTCAATCGTTAAAAAGATAAAGTCATGTTCAGGCATGTTTATTGTTAAAGCAAACAGGAAAAGGCAAAATCAACGAAACAAAAAATCATTTACGAATTTGATTCGAAGGAAAAACACTTGGAAAACAGTTAAACTATCTAGACGATACAATTTGAAACGAGTTTATTTTTTATGGACGAAAACTAGAGTATTATATGGCAGACGAAAACTAGAGTATTATATGGCATTATTTGACTATTAATGTCAAATAATGCCATATAATCTCTAATACCTCCTTTCTTTTACCATCGGACCGTCTTACCTCGGTCTTCTCCTTATTCCTTCCATTCATTTAATTGTTGTAAAATGGCCGATGGACCGATGCAACTTGATGTTGAGACTAAAATTGGATTGTTTTCTACAAACTTTGCTTCTTCTGTATAGTAAAATTCATTCTTGCCATGATAACTTTTATCTGAATACTCTTTGCTTTCTCGTAGAACAATTTACATTGCTTTTAAATCATATTTGAAAATTTACATTTCACTTCGTAAACAAATAGATTGCGAAAAAATATGTTGAGCCTAAAATTGGATTATTTTCTTCGAACTTTGCTTCGTCTGGAAAGTAAAATTCACTCTTGCTAAGATAACTTTCATGTGAATACACTTTGCCTATTCGTTCACCAATTTAAATCGCTTTTAAATCAATCTTAAAAATTTACATTTCACTTCGTAAACAAATACATTGCGAAAAAAATATCGCTACCAACGAGACCAAACTATAACAACGGACTTTAATTAAATTAACACCAATCCTATTCACAACACACCCAAACCTATAAAAGCGCATTCCACAAGGAAGACTTACCACAAATATGACGATCTTTTAGTGTTGAGAACAACTTGCAACCTTTGACTTCTTTGCCGGTTTCGTTCTCTTCAGATCAAAGAATGTCGAATACCTGTTTTGCATTTTGTCGTAGATTAAAATGATGTTAACAATACAAACAACTACAAACGATCACAGTTGGAGGTAGAGATTCTTCGCAGGGTGAGATAAGATAAATTTTTTGAAAGATCAATTTAAAACGTCATACGCACATGAAATATATTTTATGAAGGACAAGAAAATAGTCTGTTATATTCAGTCATGAGTATAATAGTCAGTTATGATAATACAATACAATAGAATGTAAAGAAATGTTGATGATGTTGGACGGTGTTGGATAAATTTGAAATTCTTCCAACTGATCAACATATGGAAAAACTATAGTTAACCGCTCTCGAATTTAAATTATTATTTGGATTGGATTTTCTTCACACTATCGTTTTAGCTCTTCAGGACAACAAGTTACTTGCAATATTCACATAAGTGAAATAACAAAAGCTTGATTTGGAATCTTCAAAAGTGGGAAACAAATTTGATTATACCACATTAAATTATGTAAGACAATAACATACCTAACTGAATAATAATAAGAGAATAAATGATTTTATAAATTCCTTTGGGTATACTTGGCATATTTAACAAACTAGTAACTTTGAGTCTTCCACTAAGTTTATGTTTTAAATTTGAAATTGAAATTCATTATTGGCAATCTTCAACACTTGCACAGTTTTGATGAAATCAATGTCTACCAAGAGCAAGACATTATGCATTTTTTACTCGATTAATACAAAGCAATCAGCTCCGTAACTATTGGCATCCAAAGATATCCTGGCCTTTCCAGATCTTGTTTTAAGAAAGAAGCAGTTGAAATAAAATCTCAACTGCATGTTGAAAACTGCATTGATAATATTTTAAAGATGCATGACTGTATCAAATAACTTTAGAGTTGTAAATCATAAAAATAAGACGTTGAATAAACGCAATTTATATTGTCATGCGTGACTAATATAAACACATACTTTACAACAGCCCCCTCGATCCTCCCCTACAGTACTTGCAGGCAATGATAAAATTGACATTCTGTAAAAGAACTAAACTTGTCAGGTACATATTTTGTAATTGCTGGCAAATCCGGATGATCTATGATTTACTGAAGTGTCTGACATAGGACAATTGTCAGTAGCTTGATCAGTGTCACTTCCAGCCATTTAATGAATACCTTTCGTCATAGGCAACAACATACGCTAATTTATAAAACTCTCTCCGTTCTCCTACCATCTATAAATTAATTAACTCTACATATATGTAAAAACGCAGCTATATGTAAACACAAATTTCAAGACAATTGTCTTAATCTGCATAGTTGAATATTGTTTCTATACTTTCTTGATGAGTGAAAAATCAGTAAGTATTGTTAAAAATATAATTTGAAGACTTATTCGTGTCGAGATAAATAAAGAAGATAATTACAGACATGTTTTTAGCGATAAAATCAAACGTCTGACGCAATGAAATTACCAAACATGCTATTAAATGCACTGAAATAACTCCCAAATTCAATGTAGTGTTTTATAAGCATACCATTCTTTAAACATGACAGGAATACAACAAAAATAGGTCTGCAAATCTTGCTAAATATTATCTGATCCTGATTATCAAATTTGACTTCTTTGTCGTTTAGTTTACGTCTGATAGAACCATGAAAATAATACAAATGTATGCACTTTGTCACATACATATTTGTTCAAAAAATGAAAAGATTTCAAAAGATCACAGCTGGAAATAATCTTTGGGGGATGGACTTGAGAAATTTTGTAAAGGTAAAAATGTAAAAAGTAAATAAGCACAAGCCTGTAAATTATCTGCACATTTGAAGAAACACAACTTTAAAGTTAGTTTTACAAAGCATGACTCACCGGAAATGTAGGCCATGCATCAAAACCATTGATTGAAACACAAGCGAACATACTTCATTTTCTCGTTCCTTCACCTGCCATGTTTTATCTCCTGATTGCTACTTATGTTTGAAACAGATACCGCTGTCATTAAGAGCCCACGATGAGCTAGCAGTGTCTTTATTCTTTTTAATATTCTCGTGAACGTTGATCGTAGAAAAATGCAAAACATTTTAAAATAAGAATTTTCAAAACAACAAATTTATTTCAATCACACAGATAAGTACCTTTATTGATTCAGACGTCTCCTCAAATGATATACAACAATCAGTATTACAGTAGAGCCACGAGAACTCCAACTGGCTCCTTCAACTCCAACTTTAATTCCGCTAACTCGAAGTCAATTCCTCCCGGATTTGCTGTTTGCTAGTACATTACACATGATGTATGAAAAAAACTGTTTCTCTTTGAAATCAACAGACATTGCTGCACATATATTAACGTTTATAAACTTTAACTAATGTAATTTGTTCGTGATTAATTTACCTATTCAAGATAATAAAGTCTTAACAAGAGTTTTCACATGACCGACTTTTTCAATGAGAAATAATAAAATAGTTAACTTTTCTAAAATAGTTTAATATATTTCTAGAACATAAAATATAATTATAAGACTTAAAAAGGAAAAATTAACAGATAAAAAGTATATATATACGATTCCCCACGTTCAAATCACCTTGCAAACAGGCGGAAACAACAAACTGCTATGTTGGAAAGTTATCAGGGAAAAATGCAACTTTAATTTATAGATCTCGTTCATACTGAAGAATTATTTCTTTGACTGAAACTTACTCGCAAACTGTTCTTCAAGATCAGGTCTTGATTTCCATTCTCTTAACCTTATGATTCTGTGCACCAAAACACAGAATATGGAATATACAGAAGGGTCACTCGTGTCGGAGCCTTTGATGTTTTTGTCCTCGCGCATATCGGCAGCCCAACCACTGACATGACACGACGTCACTTCTTATATTGAAATATATTTCCGATTTCATTGTGAAGAAACGAAAACATGTAATTGCAGTGGTTGGGAACAAGTGAAAAGCCCTAAATGTCTTGCTAGAATGATGGCCAACGTGAGGACGCGGCGCACACTTGAATGGCCCTCCTGTATAATTTTTATTTTGTGAACAAAAGGGAAAGCTCTTGGAAAACTCTCAAGAAATACTCTTTATAGTTGTTAATCATTTCTTGAGAGTTTTGTAGTCATGATAAATTTTGTTGTCATATAGTTGTCAATTATATCAATCATTGAAAATAATATACTTGTAAAATGTTCTTCAAGATCAGGTCTTGTTTTCCAATCATTCAACCTTGTGATTCTATGCACCAGCAAAGGAAGCTCTGGGAAAACTCGTAAGAAATACTCTTTGCCTTCCTTGATACGTATGAGTGGTTTATCACGCCAATTCTGGTGAACGTTTTGCAAAAATTTTAAGCAACCCAACCATGTGGAGTCGTATTGACTTATATTGAAAATACTAAAAACTTCAGGTTCAATACGGTCCATCCAATTTTTTAGACCATTTAACTGCACATGCACATCTGAGTTAAGAGGATGACCTAAATACGGTATCTCTATCCCTGGTTGGTTTGCCACATCACACAGCATATCAAAGTTCTTCTCATAGGATTGTAGATAAGGGTGTTTTAACGCCTCGCTAGCAGATGGTCTTAGTTCAGGTACAAGTTGTAGCATCCATGAAAGTAGATCTTTAAGTTGAACATCGTCGATTTCCTTTAAGCCAACAGGGTTTCCATCTAACAAGTTTTTCAGTCTATACTCTGGAGGTCCAAAAGGATGTTTCCCTTTTGTTGCAACATAATAAGCCACCATTCCTGCATTCTAAAATCAATGAAAACGTTTTTTCAGCATTTTTGTAAAGTTAATAAATTACATTTCAATTTGCAAATGGTATAATTCTAAACCTACCATTACATCAGACTTTTTTTGGTAACATGAATTATTAACTGATTCAGGAGCAATCCAATACTCAGTTTCCCATTTAGCATTGCTTTTAAATCTCTTGGAGTCATTCTTCATCATTCGACTAATAACAAAGTCAGCTAGCAAAAATTTGCTCTGTGAGTTACGGAGAACATTGGAAGGTTTCAAATCTCGATGAAGAATAGAACCACCATGAAGATCAGCTAATCCTTTTAGCGTTTGTCGGAGAACTTTAGGAAGAGATTTTTGAAGATCATACAAGCTAGAAGATTGCACAAAACTCTCTAGAGATTCTTCACATAGGTCGAGTATCAAATATACATATTCAGTTGCAGTATCTTCTTCTAAGTGGTAATAATTTACAACATAATTCGACTCCTTAGGGTTGATTCCATTTAAAATTTTCTTTTCTTGCTGTGCAAGATTGATGAAGTTATCTTTAAGCATTCGTTTCACTGCTTTACCGTAACCATCTTTTCCCAGTCCGAGATAAACACGGGTTTCATTACTTCCTTTGCCGATGCAAAACTCGTCTGAGAAAATTACACCTACATCGTTCACTTGTTTAATGACGACGTTGGGATCGCGTCCATACTTGATCAATTTTAAAAGCAATTCTCTATGTTGTGTTGATTCATCAATATATTTCCACTCTGGTCACACCAAGTCTTAAAATCACGTAAAATTGTCACATTTAGGCATGAATGATAAGAATAGTCAAACAATTAGCTAAAAGTTGTCTAAAGTCTTGCAAATATGATTCTACAATAGAACAGAAGAAATATGAATAAGCAACAATAAAAAACAATACGTAGCTACAAAGCAACTTACAATATAGGCTTATTGATACAATCAGTTTCATTTCGACTCTCGACTTTTCATTTAAAATCTTGACTTTTTATTTTACTCTCATCTTTTACTATCGACTGTCACTCTGAGATAGTAGTTGGAATCTACTAACCTTATTTAAAACTGTTACAAATGAAATTTGACTACAGACTAAAGACCATGCACCATAAGAAAAGAACATCACGATATAATGTTTAAGAGTATTTGAGCTCTGGATCTTCAAAAATATAAAATGCTGAAAATGCAAAGAATGTTTGCCAATCTTTAACCCGATATCCATGCCAAAATTAATTGCTAAATAGCAATGGATCAAAAACAAAGATTCTTGTTTTCCTCACCCATGAAAATTTACACGGAAACCCTAAATGACTGACTCGATTAAATTTTCGTCAGTCTTATCAATACAGCATTTTTAAAAAAGTTTGTACCAAAAGCTATAATGTTTTTGACATTGAAAAGAAAGCCTAAAATCGGATCCATCATTGAAAATAATATAATGATTTCAGTGGTTATAACTTACTTGTAAAATGTTCTTCAAGATCAGGTTTTGTTTTCCAATCATTAAACTTTGTGATTCTATGCACCAACAGAGGAAGCTCTGGGAAAACTCGTAAGAAATACTCTTCATACTCGCCTTCCTTGGTATGTAAGAATGGTTTATCATGCCAATTCTGGTGAACGTTTTGCAAACATTTTAAGCAACCCAACCATGTGGAGTCGTATTGACTTTTATTGAAATTACTAAAAACTTCAGGTTCAATACGGTCCATCCAATTTTTTAGACCATTTAACTGCTCATGCACATCTGAGTTTAGAGGATGACCTAAATACGGTATCTCTATCCCTGGTTGGTTTGCCACATCACACAGCATATCAAAGTTCTTCTCATAGGATTGTAGATAAGGGTGTTTTAACGCCTCGATAGCAGATGGTCTGAGTTCAGGTACAAGTTGTAGCATCCATGAAAGTAGATCTTTAAGTTGAACATCGTCGATTTCCTTTAAGCCAACAGGGTTTCCATCTAACAAGTTTTTCAGTCTATACTCTGGAGGACCAAAGGATGTTTTCTTTTGTTGCAACATAATAAGCCACCATTCCTGCATTCTAAAATCAATGAAAATGAAACAGCTTATAAGAAATGTCGAAAATCAAAGTCAATTTAATTTGCAAAAGTTACCCTTTTGCACCTACCATTACATCAGACTGTCTTTTGAAACGAGCTTTTTTTTTCGACTGACTCTTCACACAATATGATTCAGGAGCAAACCAATACTCAGTGCCACTTTTTGCAATGCTTGAATATGTCGTACGGCCATCCTTCAATATTCGACTAATACCAAAGTCGACTATTAAAAATTTACCTTGTGCGTCTCGTAGAACATTTGAAGGTTTTAAATCTCGATGAAGAATAGGACGTGGCTCGCTATGAAGATCAGCTAATCCTTTTAAAATTTGTCTGAGAATTTCGGGAAGAGTTTTTTGAAGACAAGTCAAAGAATTTGCTTCTGACAGTACAAAATCCTGCAGTGATTCTTCACACAAGTCAAGTATTAAATATACATATTCTGTTCCACTCTCTTGTTCTAAGTAAGAATAATTAACAACATACTCCGACTTCTGTGCATTGCTTTCATTCAAAATTGTGTTTTCTTGCAGAGCAAGATTGTTATCTCGTCGTATTCGTTTCACTGCTTTACCGTAACCATCTTTTCCAAGTCCAAGATAAACACGTGTTCCATCACTTCCTTTGCCGATACAAAACTCTTCAGAGAAAATTACACATACATTACCCACATATTCAACCTTGATGCTGAGATTGCGCCCATACTCAATAAGTCTTTGGAATAATTCTTTATGTTTTGTTGATTCACCAAGGTATTTCCATTCTTGTAACTGCAATTCTGAAATTGAAGTAAAAGTATTACATTCATAGAGAGCAAATGTGCATGAATACTCAGATGTATAAAAGTAGCTCAAGCTTCATTTTATTGCATTGAGGATTTTCATACAAAGTGAACATTTAAAAATATTTTATGAAAAACCATCATCAACAACTCATTCAAGCCAGTGACGTAGGAAGGAGGGCACGTGTCCTCCACAACTTTTAAGTTTAATATAAAAATGATAAAAATGAAATTCATAAAATGATAAAAGTATAAAATTAAGGTTAAGTAAAACAGAAACAATCAATGAGCAGATTACTAAAAAGCTTTCTCATTAGTGCAAACTCTCTACCTTTTTCGTTCTTCTTCTTAATGATTTCTTGTAACTTCGCTTCCATCGAATTTCGTAAGTAATAACGCTCTTCTTCATCGTATATTTGTATCAGATATTTCATAGCATTCTCTTATTTTTCTATATCTTCATCTTTTTGGACAATCCCCAGATACATTTCATAAATATCTGCTGCTTCCCTATCTTGCTCAAGTTTATCAAACAATTCTGCTAATTCCTATAAAACAGCCAACACTCCACTGACAATTCCAGCTGAAGTAACAATTGACAAGTTCTTCATGTTAAGGTTGACGAATTCTTTACTAACGTTGATACCACCAACTTCTCTTTGTCGTTGTGGTCGATGATGCTGTTCATGTTGTTGCTGTTGAGATTCAAGAAGATTAAATCCTTTTTTGTAATGCTCCAGAGATTTCTCATAATTTCCAAGCAACTTATTCAATCCTCCTAATGCAATATGGCAGAGACAATTTATTTCATCTTTCTTTATGTCGTCCTTCAGTCTTTCAGTGGTAGAATGAATACTTCCCAGGTGAAGATATACTTGATGCTGAAAATACTTACTTTCCACTTTAGAAGAAAGATTCAAACAATCATTAAAACAGTTTAATCCTTCCTGCCATTCATCAGAGAAAGTATAAGCGTTACCAAGACCAAAGAACGCCATTATTTTGACGCTAATTTCGTTTGTAACTTTCAAACATTCTTGGTAGTGTTTAATTGCTCTTTCGTAATCGCCATTTTTCATATTAAAATTTCCATCTTCCAAGAACTGCATAGCTGCTGGTTGTGACTGCCATAACCCCATCTTTTCTTGTGATACGGCAAATATTTGTTTGAGCTCGTGATTATTATTTCCAACTTTCCTTAAGTGGAACTTTTCAATCCCAACTTTGAATTAATCACAGGAAACGGAGTGGTTCTTTTAGAAGCGTTGATAGAGTATCTGTGAATTAACTTCGACTGTTATTTATTACAAGCTAACAAGAAAATTTTTTGTTTCATCTATTTCTACTTAGATTCTAGGCGCTCATTTGCTATCGTGTTTAACGCAATACAAAATTTTTAACGTCTTATTGACTGTTTTCTTGGTATTCAATTTAAAACAATAAAGAAAATTAATTAATGGCGATTCTTGAGCTAAAAAATGATAGATACAAACGTATTTGTTCTAAATTATGTAAATGTATTCTGCGACAGTATATGTTATCTGTTTCAAAGACCTGGATAAATGAATATGTGACTTAACAATGACCAAGACCTAATTCTTGCTCCTATTTTGGAATTTTGTCCTATTCTTATCCTACTAAAGTACCTATACTTTGCACTAGCTGTGGGTTTTTTCATGAGTAGAAAACATGTGCAGGCATAACTGAAAAGCAAGTATGAATGCTTTATCCTTTGACATTATCCTTTGCTGTAAATAAGCATGCAATTAAAATTATATATAGCTAAAAGTCGCTAGCTAAATGGTATTCGCAAACAAATTTATAGATTTTTTTGTGAAGTCATTTGTATAAATGAATTATTTTTGCTCCATTTTCACGATGTCGTAGAATGCACACCGTGTTTGCCAAATCGATAGTTAGTTTCGACATCAATGACTATATGACTTGTCTTCTTTCATTGTTAAAATTACATAATTTATTTATGTTTTTATTTAACTATTCATACATTTATTATGTGTATTTTTTTACACTTCCATACTATTTATCAACAATCTTTAATACTTCCTTTTGTCCTTATTTTCTCGAGCAATTTTAGCTGAGTTTTAAAACACGGTTAATGCCCTAATAGCCAGTGGCTCCAAAACTGTCTGTTAACCAACAAATTCTTATAAATATTCACACATAACAAAATTTTGAAAAAGAATGTAAAAGAAGTTCAGATACAAATGATAAATCATGCAATCGATTTAAATAATACCAAGACCAACTTTCTCAAGAATTATTTTTTTTAAAATGCCTGCGTGTCATTTCCGGCAACGATTTACATCGTCATCCGACAAGAGAAAATATTAAATGTTTTAGATCAGTTTGTCGTCTCAACAAAGTTTTTTCTTTTTTATCGCTGTGGTAAAAAGTATACAAAAAATATAAGGTTAAAGACATAGAGTTAAATACAGAGGTATAAATAAGATGAACAGACCAAACCCTTGCAAATGAATAGATTATACATCATGAAATATTTCACATATATTCAACCTAACATTTAATGCGTACCATTCTTTAGTTTTGTGATTAATACAATACAACAAAGTCTGGAAAACTTACAATTAATACGACGATCTTTAAGTGTTTGAAAATTTGAGAAACTTTGATTTCGTTTCCATTTTTGTTATAAACAGATTATAAACACCAAAGTATGTTAAATGCGTCGTAGATTAATATCGTTTGATAATAAATGTAAAGCATTTCTATAGATCGCAGAGGGAAACAAATATATTTACTGAAGGAATAGATAAGGAATTTCAAGTATGATTTAAAACGTCATACGCACATGTAACTTATGCCTCTGGTTGTAAACAACAGAACGAGCCCTTTTATAGTGAAAAACACCGAATTTTGCCTTCGTTAGAAATTCTTATTTGAAGAGTTCGCTCTTGTTGAGACTAGACGACACTGTATCTACAAAACAGTACTATATGATCTAATGGGTACTATGCCTTATAAACATATTCAATACACGATAATATTTTTCAATTTTTTATTTTTAATGATAGATAATTTTCAACTTAGCTATAAGACACCTTCAGTGTGATTGAATACGATATTTATATCATACAATGTGATTCTGGGAAATATATAAGATCGAAATTGATACAGTTGAATTGATACAGTTGAAGTGATACAGGTTTGAAAAGGGGGGGGGGGATGGCAAAAAAAGGTGGCAGAATCGGATTAATGTTGCCATTATATTAAAGTTGTTTTTAACAGTTTTATCAGTAATCATTCAATATACAAAATTTGTTTGATTTCGTGTGTTCAGACTGAGTGCCTTTGCACGGTGTTCAGGCACGGGTACAAATGTGAACACAAAATTTTGATGATGCCAGTGTATAAATGCCTGGGTCTAGACACCACGAAAAGAGGTATCACCCAAGTACGGTGCTCAGGCACGGGCACTGATGTGAACGACGACACCTTAGTAACGTGTATAGAAAAGCATACATTCAGCACATGGTTTTAAAACTTGAAAACATGAAATAATAAATAGACGAAGCTAGTGGGTACTACGTAGTGTGAACAACCTGCAGATTTTTGCCAGAACCAGGGTATCTTACTCCGGCAATTAGTCTGAGCGCTCTATAATTGATCAATCTAACGTCAACTAAAAAATAAAGGTGCAACATAAGTGAGACATGAAATATTGTTAAACATCCATACTTATCTAATGCAAGTATTTTCCTGGGGCGGATTTTTATACTTTAATACTTTACAAAGCAAGAGATATTGAAAAATTAGGGGGGGGCTAATTGCCCTGCTGATACTCACACGCAATAGAGGAAATAATTTACAAATTGTTAGTGATTAGGGAAATGATACAGGATGTGCGTAGTTAAGGAAAGGGAGAAAATTAAATTTGGAAAATACTATTAAAATGCTGGACTTGTTTCTTCATGTCTGGTTTGTGTTGACGTATGTGTAGGGTTGGTTTGAGTTTGAAAATGAATGAAGTGTTAGCAGTGTTAGAGAAGCGTGATGAAGTGTATTTAGATTTGCTTTCAGATTTTGTTAATGTTTGTCAACGTGGAGTTTTTTTCGGAGGTGGTGTATTCTTTGATCCATGTTGCAAAATTTCTGGTGGTTTCATGTAACAGTTGTATCATATTTCTATCTTAAATCTGCGACGAAGATGGCTTGGAGTGAAGTCGAAACATGTCTGTTATTAAAATTAAAAAATTGAAAAATATTGTCGTTTATTTAAATGTTTACAAAATATTACATAAAATGAACCTTACGGTAATCAATATATGCAAATATATGAGATTAAAGAGTTTGAGATAGAGACAAAAACACTTGTATAAAAAGATATTAATTTAGTCAAGAACGTTTCAACTTTTTGGCTCTCCATTAGACACAACATATAGTGGTGCTGGCAGGATTTTATTTTTTTTTGAAGGGAGGAGTGTAACACCTCCAAAATGTCACATACAATGTATAACGCAATGTTTTATTCAACTGAAACTTTCAAGTTACGTTTACAGAAACCTCAGTATGCGAAATATATTATTGGCAGTCGTCCCCCTTGCCGGAGCCTCTGACAATACATTAGAATCCAAAATCACATAAAAAAAGAAAATGCTCTCATCTTGGAAAGTCTTTATAGAGTACTTAAAACATGCATATTGAATATTATCAAACGAAAAAAACCTTTTAGTGAAAATAACAACTAAATTGGGACATTGTATAGTGTCATGGAATCCTAATTTGGCTACATCGTTTAACATAAAAAATTGTTGGTATGACTAAGCTGTAAAATGCTTCTGAAGTTCGGCTCTTGTTTTCCAGTCAGTCGACCTTATCATTTTGTGCACCAGAAGAGGCAGTTCAGGAAAACGTTGCAAAAAATAGTAGACATAGTTGCCTTCCTTGACATAAGGCAACAGATGTGTACGAGGTTTATCGTTCCAATGCTCATTCACGTTTCTTATGAATCTTAAATACCATGCCCATGTAGGCTTGTAAGTCGGAGTTTTCTTTTTGCCGCTCTTTTTAAAGGATTTGAAAGCTTTCAAGACTTCATCATCGAGGGAAGTCCAGATGAAGTAAAGGTAGCAGTTGCAACTGGGGCCGGAGACCGCGTGTGCCTTAGCGTTGTCCCACTGAAAGTGAAAGCAAATGGGAACAATCGACCGTCAGTCAGAACTTACGCACTAATGGATAGCAGTTCAGAAGTAGCACTTTGTAATAAACGCTTGCAAAATCAACTTGGAATAACTGGGCGAAAGCTTGACTTCACATTGACAGGGTGACTGGATGGACTGAATTAAAGAGTGAACTAGTGGATATCGTAGTAAGTTCTATGGATGACAGCACAGTGGTTGAATTACCAAATGTCAGAACGGTAAACCACATACCAATTTCAGAGTCTTGTGTAGCAAAAAGAGGTGATATAAGAAAATGGCCGCACTTACGCAATCTTCCGTTGCAAGAGTTAGAGACTTGTGAAGTTATGCTGGTTATCGGACGGCGCGAAAATCCTAAGTTGTTTCTACCTTTGGAATATAAATTGGGAGAGGAGAAGGATCCAGTGGCAATTAAATACAGTTTAGGATGGACAGTGATTGGTCCTGTCGCCTACCGAAATGAACGGTGTGCATCGGCTAATCTTGCACGATTGGAATTCGATGCCCCTGACTCTGCCACTAACAATGAAGTTGATGAAGTGGAAAATGAATGCCTCAAGTATCAATTGGAAAGACTGTGGAAGACCGACTTTGAGGGCTCCCTAGTTGAAACTAAAGTGTGTCCGTCGCTTGAAGACAAGAGAGCGCTTCAAATAATGGAAGAGACGCTGACAGTAGTAGATAATCATTTTCAAGTTGCTCTGCCATGGCGAAAGAAACCGCCCTCCTTACCTAATAATAGAATAATCGCAGAACGCAGAGGCTTACTTTTGAAAAAACGGCTCCTCAAGGATGAAAACCTGTTGGAAAAGTATCAAGCCACAATAAACGATTACATTGATAAAGGCTACGCAGAAAGAATTCTTCAGGATCAGCTAGAGGTAAACGACAGACCAACGTGGTACCTACCACATCACCCGGTTACTCATCCTCTAAAGCCCGAAAAGGTAAGAATCGTCTATGATTGTGCAGCCAGATATGAGCAAACGTCGTTGAATCAGCAACTTCTACAGGGTACGGATCAGACAAATCTACTAACAGGCGTGTTAATTCGCTTCAGAGAGGAATTGGCTGCAGTAGTTGCTGATGTAGAAGCAATGTTCCATCAGGTTCTAGTGGAACCAAAGGATGGAGACGCATTGCGATTCTTATGGTGGCCAAATAAAGACCTTTCTGGAAACATGGAAGAATACGGAATGACAAGACATTTGTTCGGAGCAACGTCGTTTCCAAGTATCGCCAATTTCTGTTTGCGGAAGACAGCCGAGTTGTTTCAAGAAGAATACGACTCCCTAGCAGTAGAAACGGCGAAACGTAACATGTATGTCGATGACTTGATGAAATCAATAAGCGAACCACAGAAAGTACTCTTGGAATAAAGTAGAACACAGAAGAGGATATGTTTGTATGGGTTGTTGCGGAAAGAATGTTGCAGTTAGAAAACGAAGGTCCTGTCACTCGACGGAAGATAGTGTCAGCAGTAAATTCGCTTTTCGATCCCTTAGGCTTTATTGCTCCGTTTGTTATGAAGGCGAAGTTAATACTGCAAATGCTTTGTAGAAAAGGACTTGGATGGGATGATCACATTCAGGCGAACGAACTTTCGCAATGGAAACGTTGGGTAGCTGATCCCTCTAAGCTACAAGAAATTCGGGTTCGCCGCTGTTTTAAACCTGCAGGATTCAAGGAAGTAAAAGATGTGAGTCTACATATTTTCTCCGACGCCTCTCGACTTCGCTATTCGGCGGTGGCATATTTGCGTCTAAAGAATGCAAACAATGAAATACACTGCTCATTTGTAATTGGGAAGGCTAGACTCGCTCCATTAAGGGAGATTTCTATACCAAGACTGGAATTAACGACTGCCGTCATTTCCGTAAAACTTTCGAAGATTATTCGAGAAGAATTGGATGTGGTAGTGCAAGGAGTTTGTTACTGGACAGATTCAATGTCAGTTCTCAAATGTATTAACAACGAAAGCAAAGATTTCACACATTCGAGTCCAACCGTTTGTCAGTGATTTGTAGTGGATCGCACCTATCCGAGTGGAATTACGTGAAGCGGGATGACAATCCCGCCGATGAAGGCTCCAAGGGCGTTAAATTGCATGTGTTAAGACACAAAGGCCATAGTTAAAAGGTCCTGCATTCCTTTGAGAGGACGAAAGCCATTGGCCAAAGGGGATAACAATTCCTGAACTAAAGGATGAGGACCGAGAAGTAAGGAAGGAAGCCCTAATTTACGTGACTGCAGAAGGCCTCACTTGTTGGATATGTTGATTTCACGCCCCTCCATTTGGTGGAAGTTGAGGTGTTCTGTTGCTTGGTTGTTACGTTATAAGGATTATCTTCTCAGCAAGGCGAGACAAAGGGAAGTTATTTCTGGTCCTCATTTGGAATCGGAATTTAAAGTTCGACGACTAGCAATGGAAGAATTGGATGCCGCCGAAAGAGAGATCTTCGCACATGTACAGAACACCACATTCTCACGCAAATTTCAAAGTTTGTACTTTAACCCGCCTTTAGCAAGCCATATGGGAGGCGTATGGGAGAGAATGAAACGATCTGTTAGACAAATCCTCAAAGCAATTCTCAAAGGACAAGAAGTTTCAGACGAAGTCCTGCAAACCGTGATCGCAGAGGTGGTTCTAATCCTGAATTCAAGACCTCTCACGCGCAACAGTGACAGTCCTGACGATGACGATCCTCTAACTCCAAACCACTTATTGCATTTACGAGCAAGTACTAGTTTACAACCGGGATTATTTGACAAAAATGATTTGTGCTGTAAGAAGAATTGGAAGCAGGCTCAATACTTAGCAAATGTTTTTTGGCGTAGATGGCTCAAAGAATACTTACCAACATTAATGGAGAGAAAGAAATGGTATACACCGGGACGAAATTTTAAAGAAGGAGATCTAGTACTTGTAGCTGACGAAAACTATCCAAGGGGACAATGGACGTTAGGTGTCGTTGTAGAAGCAATAGCAAGTAATGACGGTTATGTGCGGACAGTGAAGGTAAAAACTAGTTAAACAGTATCGACCAGAGCCAAACATCAACGAAAGGGAGATTACAAGATGAACACGGTAACCTTGATCCGTCCCGTGACTAAATTATGTCTACTTGAGATGGACACTTGAAGTTTATATATCTAAATAATTTAGAATTTGAGAGTTATATTCTTGTTGTGTTATTCAAATTTCACGGTAGCTTAATATGGTTGTAAATGGATTGCTACGTTGCAATTTCCATTTAGGGACCGGTGTGGCTACCGTATGATTTGCCGCTTTGGACGGCATGGGGAGCAGGAAGTGACGTTTGAAAGGGTGTTGCTGTTTATTTAGAGTAAAAAGGCAAATTGTTGTAGTTGAATGTTGTACGTGGGACCAAACGGTCCTTAACGTAATTTGAAAGTAATAAATTGTAATTTCGTTTATTTCATTAAATTGTTTATTCCCAAGTTGTATGACGACTTGATAGTCACAACATCCTTATTCGCGGTCACCTTCCTCTGACTTGAACAGTCATAAACAAGCACATGATGGGGAAGCAAATACCTACGACTCGACATCTAAATGAATTTACTAGACCCAATTCAAAGAAAAGAACCGAAGGCTGTATTGGTATATTGTGTAGCTTCTTCTTGCCCTTTAGGTTGACTAATGGCTGAAGTGGCTCACTTTAATCTACCATAAAATCTTTGAGCAAGACTAGGTTCTACTAATAGAACAGCAGCGATCGATGCCTTTTTTAAAAAAAGTATGCAGTGTTGCACGCGGATAGCAGTATTTGATATGAACTGGAGCTCAGGTTTGGCAAATAAAGTTTGATCTTAGGCAAATATTGAATTTGTTATAGTTGCATATAGGGGTTTTATGTTATGTACCTATCACACAGAGTACAGAAAGTTCAAGAACGAAGTAGAAATTGACTTAAGAAAGATAACAATATCAATACTGTCAGATTTAGTAAAGACCGCAAACGAGCAAAATTTATGCTAAGATCAAATGCGAATTATGGATATCACTTGAATTAGCACGATAAGCGACATCATGAAAACGTACGTCCTTGTATGTGTAGTAAAGCTCATAAACTTCTTTGTACCCATTTAATGCATACAACAAAGGTCTATTTTTAACTCTTCAGAGAGTGAAAATATCTTAGTCTGACATTGAACTAGAATTCGTAGCTTGCAACTAGTACGACCAATCGTTTAGGTTATTAGTTAAATTCGTTCGTTTTGTGCAATGTATTGATTTTTTAACTATACTTGCACTTTGTGTATTGTAACGAAGTACAACTAAATTATAAAGGTTTCATGACTTTCTCCATTTTCAATGTTTGTACTAGACTCCCTAAAGCCTCAAAAAATAAGGGTGGAGTATATACTATACTCGTCGACTTTATCCCCACCCCCAAATTTGAATCTGTTTCTACGCCTATGTATCAATCCTATGTATATCTATGAAACATCGAGCCATTGGCGTTGTGGCTGGGGTACAGCCAGGGGGGAATACCCCACGAATGATTTGAGGAGAGAATCCGCTACCAGAAGGCATATGAGGGCCGCTAGAACGCATCTTTACAAACGCCTCTAAATTTATTTCAGGAAACAAAATTCAAACAAATAAAACCCCTGAACGGCGGAACGGATAAGAAAAAATGGCGGACGGATCTATTTCTGCTGAGATTCACCAAAATTGACCCATATTACTTCGCATTGTAATACAATTTGTAATCAGAATGATACAATATTTTGATCTATTCATATCCAACACTTTGTCGCGTTTTTACTCAAAATGACAAGGAACATATAACAAACAGGCACCGCGGAGGATCGATAATTGGGGTAATATTCATATATTCATGATATGGAGGCTTAAGTCCTTTGAAATCCATTGTTTTCTAAGGATCAAAACATGAATATATGAATATGAGCCCCCCCCCAAATTATCGATCCTCCGCTGTGCCTGAAATTTGTATGCCGAAGGTTCATCTGAATTGTCAAAAGCTCTTCTTTGATGACGACATTGACTTAAAACTGACTTATTTTATGTTGTTCAACACCTAAATTTGTAAACTATAGCTTTGGATAATCGTCCAGTTTGCACAAATGCTTCTTAAGCTATTTTTATAGTTATTATGGATATTATTATCATCTTACACAAACAATCTCATGAAGGGATTTTGAATCGAAAATGCTTAAAAATATTGGGCGCAAGGAGACGTAAAATATCCTGAGATGACGAGATAACAACGAAAAGCATAATCAAGGAGTATATGTTGAATGTTAGAAAGTATATCACTATGTATGGCAGATACAATTTATAAGTGCCTTATACATAAATTTCATAGTATAACTTACTTTCATAGTGGGGGTAATATTCCATTCCTTCTTCTTTAGACTCGTAACGTTCTGTCAATTGAAAAGTCACAAAACGTGTGACAGTATTTTAGTCAATAAAATTCGACTCAGAAAAAGCCTTAAAGATATATCTATAGTTGGTGCATAAAGACATAAAATCTCTAGACGACAATTATCGAGGTAAAAAGATCAATAAAGTGTATAAATGTTCTACGATAAAATGTTGGAAAATATATCCATATTTTTGCATGTATAGCTTACACACAATTTACGAGGGTCTCGCATAAATTCGATTGTATATAACTTACCGTCATCCATGAAGTAACTTTTCATTCGTTGAAGGCAACTCTATAAATTCTGTATTATCCAAGGTGAATATCGAACTTACAAAATTCTGCAATCATAAACACATATTTATCAAATCTTCGTCTTTCTCACTCGTTGAAATGAAAAGATTAAAATAGAATTCTTGCACAGTTTTAATATTCAATCATTAAGGCGTTTAAATTACATATAACATCATAACCTTCAACGCCGTACGTCAACAAAGCAACTTTCCGTGATTATTAGCACTAACATAGAGGAAAATTTATAAATATTAAACATAAGCAGGAAGAAAACTTTCAGAAATTGTACTCATCCTTGTTAAACGTTACTTTTATCAATGTTTTAAAACATCCAACTGTATGAAGTTAATCGTCAAAAATCTACGATAATCATTTGATGCACGCCAAATAAGAGTGTTTCTTTTTTACAAATTATTGTCGAAACAAAAATATTTATCATAATAGTAGCAAAGTAGCTACATTTTAGGGGAAAGCTTATTATTCACAGATTCTAAAAATTATGATTACCCAACAAAACAGCAACAAGGTAGCTATACAAGATATAGAAAAGACTACTATCGTCAAGTTTCATCTTTATAAACTTGATTTAAAACATATTAAGGGTAATGGTTTACTTTCACCAATTATGATGAAGCTAGCAATATCAGGGACAACTTAAACTCAGTAAGGCAATGGTGTCTTTGTCAATGTGAACGTAATTGGAAGTTACTTTTTTCCGTACAAATCTCTACCAAGGAATTTAAAAGCATAAATCAAAACACAATCCGCTTATTTTAATCACAGCAAATGGAACGTTTTATAGTATAACTGTTTAATGTTTGTGATTAACCATTGATTGCAGTCGGCTACATTTAAAAAAAAACACAGGAGATTCTAAATTTGGACAACCGAATCAAACAAGGCGCTACCATGCAACACCTAATGAGAAGAAAAAAACCTTTAAGGGTATTGGCATGTAAGATATACAGTATTAGAATTTAGAATAGTCCGTTCATCAAAAATGCAAGAATTCATTGAAAAATGTCATATTACGCGTGTCAATGACACACTTCATTGCATAACTATTTAGAGATGCAAATATTAAAAAACAAGAAAACGATCTTTGTTCATTCGATATTAGCTATACCGAGAATTTGTCTATTTTACTTTTCTATTATCATTCTAATCAAATTCTTCCTAGTAAATGCTCAAATGGTAATGATATTACGCGTGTCAATGACACACTTAATTGCATAAGTATTTAAGATGCAACTCTTTAAAATAACAACAAAAGATCTTTGTTCATTCGATACTAGCGATATTGAGAATTTGTCTATTTTATTTTCCTATTATCATTCTAATCGAATTTTTCCTGGTAAATGTTCAAAATTATTTTTTGTTAACTGTAACTAATAAGAGACTGAAAGATGTGTGTTGAAAACAGAAAATTGTGGATTTGTACATGGAATTAAAGACTTAATCTACCACTAGGAATGCCTAATGCAATGCCTTTTGTTGAGTGATAACACTTCTTTGCAATGTAATGCATACTTTTTAAATTAAAACTAGCAATCAATCTCTTGATTGGATTAGAGGAAATTGATTCAAAATAACATTAATAAAACATTAACTAACCTTAATGTAAACACAAACCTTCATTTTCAAAAACAGAAACGAAGAAGAGATCATGGCGGAATATACTGATGAGATAACTGAATCCCGTTGCAATTACAGGAGGAATGTCTTCTGGAGAAGTAGCCTGAACATAAAAGATGATATTTAATTTGTTTAGGAGTATTTTTGTCAGACAAATATAACATGAAAACAGTTCAAGAAAGTACTTAAAACTTCTCAACTAAACAAGCACAAACAACAATTTACACATAAATTCATTTACCTTTCCTTGAGCCTTGAAGAAATAATCACAAACAGAGCGTCCCAAAACACTTCTCCAATGTTTTCCAGAAATATATCCCTAAATGTACATGAAAACATCATATGACCTAGTGACTCACAGTAACCCATTTGGTGTAAAGTTGTGATAACTAAACAATTTAGGAAGCTGAAATCATCAAAATGGCATTATCTAACTGACTTCAACACGATTAAAATTACAGATATCAGGTAATATCTCACGATTTTTATGACATTCTTTATTTCTTCTGGGTATTAATCCTGTCACATGATACTTCTCATAATCTACCTTCACATGCTTCTGACATTGTTCAAGCTTTCCTTTAATATCTTACTGAAACTAATCTCATTTTATCTCATTCAAATAATTGTAAAGTACTTCTCACAATAATCACAAGCTGTTACGTACAAAACCAACAAAAGAGCTTTGAAAGCAAACAAATATAAAACCAATACATACTGTCACTACCGACTCACCCTGAATGGTTGATGATAAACAAACTGTGAATCATTGTAAAATCCACAGATAATAAAACCTATAAAAATGTATTTCTCCTTTACTTAACTAGCTTAATGGTTATAAAACTATTTTATGTAAGTTCATTTCGTAAATATTTATTTATATTATTGCCAACATTTAACCAACATTTAAAAGCGATGTTTCCATTTAAAAATTAAGATTCATGTAATCCTCTTACTTGTCCCCAGACCACTGAAGACTCAACGGCCTTTACCAGCTGGCTCACCTAACTTATCTTTAATTATGGTCGAGAAGATTTTCGTCTCAATCCCATGATCCTGATTGATAACAAGTCAATGAATTGGAAGAGTCCCAAACAGTTATAAAATATAACGACAGATGAAATACCATGCACTAGGTACAAGGAGAGATGTTCTGTTTTAGTCGATTTTAATTTTGTTTAGAAAAACGTATTTCGAGATAGGAATGAACCGTGACTTCTTTCAGTTTTTTATGAATATGCTACAGAATCTCCGGAATCTACAAACTTGCTAAAACCTTAAACATAGCCTGCATTCTGGAAAATAACTTTGTTCAAATCCTGAGTTTAATAAATAAGTCTCATTCTACTCGCTACGAATGGATCGAGAAGCTCTTTCGTTTCTTTGGAAAGCAAAATATCAACTTAGTTGAGTGTACCAACGAAACTAAAAACCTCTGTGTTATTTTATTACTAGCATATTTGTGTTTATGAAAAGGAAATAAAAATGGACAGTGAATTTCCGTAAAAAATAAAGAATTTTGATGCACTCATTTTTATACCAACTTATTGTAACAAATGATTATGGAAGTATCAAAGTATGAAATGAACGATGAATACAAACGTTATTTGCAAAGTCCATTTCATTATCAGGTATTGCTGACAACTTGATTCTATTGCTGTATGAAATCTTTTTTATCTTATCATTAACAACAAAGTGTATGTCACTTAATTTTATCAGCTGCTTTTCCACCAAACTGAAACTCGCAGTCTGGCACTGTAAAGTATTTACTTTGTTCTGTTATAAAATAGATTTGACTAAGTTCTTGTGGAGTTTTAAGAAAACATATATCAAAGAATAATTTTCTATTTCTTTCCAGCAACCCAGTAAATACCTTTGCAATGACGCAAGAAAATAGAGGGTCATAGCTGAGCCATCAAAAACACAATTGGTGACAAAAACTGGTCCACATGACCTTCCATTCAATGTTAAACTAAATCATTCACGAAACAATATACGACCAAACAAACATATGACTAAAAATTTGAGCATGTATTTCATTTACACTACGATACTCTTCAGTATTAAAAATTACAGGTCGATCACGGTTTGTCTCAGAAAACGATGATCAATGATTGATTATTGATGATTGATTACACATTTAGGTGTAGTGCACAAATAAAAGTTAAAAACAAACGACAAACCCGATTGCTAATTACAAAATAACATTTCTGTTTTGTTTTCTTTAGACGACCAACCCCAACAGCCATTGCAAGTTGAAAACAAGACTAGCAATAGAATATGTTCGTAGTCTTCTCCCGGATAAACCACTTTTTGACAGAAAATGACTTTAATTTGCTGGAGAATCGTGCTTCACAAAAGAACACTAAATGCAGAGTAACAAACATGTCACTTATTAATTCAACAGAAGAAAACAAAGATGACTCTTACTACTCCAAGTTCCAAGAAAAACATATTGAACATGATAGTTATTCAAACTTAGATCGACAAAATACTAACTACTTAGAAATGTTACAAAAAAGTGCACAATGCAATCGTCAAATTCAAGAAACACCATTTATTCAAGGAAAAAAAAAATACCAAGCGTAAATCAGACGAGGACAGTGTCCACGTGAGATATATTTGGAAAGCTTTGGTGGACGGTGGCTATGACGTTTCTAGAAAAGAAATTTCAAAATACAAATTTGAGTTGACAGATTCAAGACAAAAATCAGCACCCTCGAAACGAAACAGTTTTATAAATCATCAAAAGACAAATCCTGTTCTTCGAAATAAGTCTGCAAATTACAACAAGGAGAGCATTGAAATTCCTGTGAATAAATCAATGGGTTGCTTTTTGCCAAATGATAAAAAAACTTCAATGTTTTGTCCCCAAACTAGATGACAAAAAAGAGGTACACATAGCTAAAATGTGACATTGACATTTTTTAGTTTATGAGTCTATATCAGCTCAACAAAAAAGTTGATACTTAGACTTCGAGAGTGAAATGACCATCTGCTTCACTTCTTGTAGTTAGAACAAAACAAAGGAACTTTTAAAAACGGTGAGACCAATCAGCTTGAAATTATTGCAGTAAGGAAACCCGTAAATAAGCTATCTCAAGGTAAAACTTAAAATTGAAAAACAAATAATCAGTAAATTTCATAGAATATTCACAAACCTTGTTTTTTATTTAGAAATGAAAAAGTCTCCGATTTCTCTCGATGGACGTTTGAAGTCAACTCGAGCTCGAACTTGGGTCATTTTTTGTACTATGCATATTGTTTGAATGTGAATCAAAACAGGTATAATGATTTGTAGCTACTGTCATCTGTACTTAATAGAAAATATCTTTTGATTTGATGAATTTGGGGCTTGCATTCAGGCTGTCTATACAACTACAGTGCAAAATAAGATCACGTCTTTGTGGATTGCTATTTGGCTATAGACTTGTTTTTAATAAACAAAGTCAGAAATAACAGAAGCAGTGTCTTTAAGAGAGTTTTCAAATCAATTTTATTGCCTCTAACTCTTAGGTTCATTTGGTAGTGACATGGGCTTTCCAAACGTAGTCCAATATCCTGAATGTTCCGTAGAAGGTTGCGTTTATGAACTATCATCAGAATATCTACCGCTTTTGGATATATGTATTGCTTCTCCAAAGGTAAACCAACCGCTTTTAAATTTCCCCTTGACACTTAATTTGCTAGTCCTCCGTCCTCTTTCTATCAGCCTAACAAAAATTTTTTGCAATAATAACAGGGAATCAGCATTTATAAACTTGCAGCCAATATATCCAATACAAAAGTTGAAAATTCAACCATATACTGTCCAATTTGAACAATCAAATAAGCAAATATAATGTATAAATCTATATCAATGATTATGCTTTTCTAGCATTACAAGAGACTGGTTCTACCTGTTTGGATGTGTAAAAATCCTGCTCGATTTGAGCATGGTATATGTCAACAATGTGTTGCTGCAGTTGTTTATGTTGCTCAAGAAAAATATATCTCGCCAGGTGAGTGAAGCTTTCGTTTCCTCTTACATACCAAAAGCTATTTTCTTTTCACATGATTTCACTCCCAACTTGCAATATAATTTTGCATGCAAAACTCATTGAAAATTCAAACAATGCCACACAAACTCGGGTTTTATGAAAGCCAATGAAACCAAGCACAAATAAACTTATCATAGGAAGACATGATGGAAGGCGTTTTTACCGAAATTCAATTTCTTTTCCTAGATTTTGTGCAACTGGATACTTCATTTACCTTGAAGTAGTACTTTATAAGAACTGATTTACTTACTCCAAACTAAGTTGAATATTTAAAAAGTTTCAGTATAAATCACGCTTTTGCCCTTTGGGAATACTTTTTAAGTAACCAACATGAGCGCAAGTCAACGCGTAATGCTGTTCATCTTACAGCAGAACAAAGTCAACGCGCCATAAATTGATGTATTGAGCTCATCCTCTCGACTTACCATACCATTGTTGGATAGCTGTTGGATTTCTATTTTCTTACGTGGGTCAACATAACGTAATTCAATGTAATCTGAAGCTTTCCATTCAAATTTATTATCGATTTCTTGCTTTAAAACATCCTCAGTCTTTGATTCGTCAACTTCAAGATACATGTGACGATAATTCAACTCATAAGTAGGACGTGATGTAACATACTTGCCACAAAGCCAAGGAAAACTGCAAATGTGGAAAAGTGAAGATATTCGATGCCTTTTCCTCGTGTCAAATAAGTCAAAATTGACGTAAAAGTGATAAAAAACATTTACCTTTTCAAATTTTCATGGACGCTCTCTTTAATTTTGTGATCCTTTTTGAGAAAACGTTCTTTAAATTCGACTGTGTTGGGAGTGGAAGGTTCATCTACAAAATATTACACAATATAATAGCTCATCAAAATATTGATGAGTTATGTGAAAAGCTAACACCATTCATTGCAAAGAAAACACCACTATGAGAGATGCTATATCTGTTCGTGATCGCTTGTGTGTAACATTAAAGTTCTTAGCATCAGGATGCTCATACAAAGATTTGATGTACAGTTTCAGAATATCAGTTTCATCTATTTCAAAAATTATACCTGAGTTTGTGAAGCTTTGTATAATGTGCTGAAGGAAGAATATTTAAAGCCACCCACAACAAAGCAATAACGGCTACACATTGCTGATGAATTTAAGTGCAAATGGCACTTTCCCATGCAGTTGGCAACATTGATGGTAAAAATATCAACTTGCGTGCACCTCCGAACTCAGCGTCTGAGTACTTTAACTATAAAAAACATTTTAGCATAGTCCTCTTGGCTATTGCCGATGCAAATGCTAAATTCATCTCATTTGATCTTGGAGCCCCTGGCAACCAGTCAGATGGAGGAATTTTTAAAGACAGTCACCTTAAAAACATATGCTATTTCCCATAAGCTGAAGAACTAAGAGATACATTATTGCCTATACCTTACTTTCTGCTTGGAGATGAGGCATTTGCTTTGAATGAAAATCTAATGAAACCATATCCACACTAGACTGCAATAGGTGATGAGAAAGTTTTTAACTATAGACTTTCACGAGCACAAAGAATTGTCGAAAATGCATTTGGATTGATGTGTAGTCTATTCAGATGTCTTTTGAGAACATTGGAGTTGTTTGTTTCACATGCAATGCAGGTGGTGAGGGCCTGTATGGCACTGCATATCCAAATCTAAATTGAGAGTCATCTGATTATTTACAGCAAGCTCATGAAAATCTTCCTCCCTACCAATGACGATGTACATAATATCGACTTCTTTATTAGACACCACTCGCGAGAGATAGAGACGTTTGGCGTGGAAAAATTCATGGACCGGTCAACTCCCCTGGCGGGGATTAATACTGGCCGGTATACAAATGTTGTTTGTTTGTTTGTTTGTTTGTTTGTATTAGACACCACTCGCGTTTGATCCGGAACACGGACAATCGGTTGTCCGTTGTAAAAGTATTCCATGCTTTCTTCGTTAACTGTGGCATTTAGAGATTCTTGGATTTCCATAAATTGGACTCCGCCACTAAAGTCTTGTTGACGGTCATCCAAATTATTGACAACACCAGCATGAGCACAGGGCAAGGCATAGTACATATCATTCTTAAGGCAGAACATTGTCAATGTTCCAAAACTACCCTCGGTTCTTTCCGCTATAATTTTAGACAGCATTCGAAACTTTGCTTTTTTCAATGGTTTACATCGTAATTCGATGTATTTCGATGCTTTCCATTTTAACTTTTCATCGATCTCATTTTTGATAGCAGCCTCCGAATTTTCTTTCTCAAAATCAACTGTGACATACAAATGAGGAAACGGCATCTTCTCGTTTGGGCGAGCTATTCCATACTTCCCACTAAGCCACGAGCAACTTAAACAAGAAACGATAACTATATATTGTCTAAAAACTATTTTTCTTAATGTTCCGACATGCACAGGTCAACATACATAATCGATATCCCAAGAAAGAAAAATTACCTTTGGAGAGCCTTGTGAACGTCAGCTTTAATATTCTTACTTTTGTCTAGAAGTTTATGGAAGTTGTCGTCATGATTTGCTTCAAAATATCATAAAAATATAATTGATAACTTTGGTGCACCAACATTAACTACGATGAAACTTCAATGAGATAAGACATAAATAAGACTAAAAATTGACTAATCATATACATGGGATCATAAATTACTTTGCTCTGGATTCTGTGTCGAATACCTGTTTTGCAATATCATCTATTTAAAAAAATCACAGCAGGAAGTACACTGATAAAAAGATTTTTTTGAGTGTTATCGCAGTGCGCTGCGTAGTGTGAATAAATATTTGGAAAATTTACAAGTATTATATTCGGAATAGAAAAAACTAGAATCCCGATGCAAATAAGCTTAATATATCTTATATGAGATGTTTTCAAACTTTGTTTAGAACGCAGGAACACAAAACAGAAAAGAAAATTTTCTCATACATTTTCACAGTAAGAATCATTTGTTCGTTATAAGTTATAACATAATTTCAACATATTGAAGACGCTGTGCTTTTTAGTTACTTTAACTGCATGTAGCTAGAGGGCTCAGTTCCTAATTTTTAGAACGAATAAATGCTTTCAAATATTATGCTATTTCAATAATTTCACTGTTGTTAGCAGAGCAAGGAAGGTGTGTTATGTACTGCAGCAATTCTGACTAACTTTGTAAACTTTTCTATCAATTTTACTATTTGTTATTTAGTTTATAAAAGTTTTATTATCAAATGGTACATTAGGTTAACCAAAAACTCCAACTCTTACTGCAATAAAAAAAAACGTTTACAAATAATTGCTGCAAGCAAAGCAGAGAGCTTCTATATTCTTATGTGTGTACGATATAAAGATTTTCATGGGATGTACAACCATCAAAATGCAAGCAAAGCAGAGAGCTTCTATATTCTTATGTGTGTACGATATAAAGATTTTTATGGTATGTACAACCATCAAAATATTATGAACGACGTCATGTTAAATTTTGCACCATTCATCAAGGTGATGAAATGTACAGATGATATGTACAGGAACTTCGTTTTCTATTATAAAAAAGAAATTTTTAACAGTATTGTAACAAATCAAACGAAATAGACTAACCAACGGTAACACAAATGAAAAATCTCTTCAGAATATACACTTCATAGATCAAACATATCTAACAGTTTTTTCTAACAATGGTATTTAGAAAAAGAAAAAATACATGCTAAGTACTTTAAACATAGCAGCTGGTTAGTATCTGTATTTTATAGGAAATGAATAGTGACATAGGATCTTTTACAGTTACTTGCTTAAAAACCACTGTAAATACGATATATAGCAACAATTAAAACACAACTGATCAAAGTTACACAATGGTGACATAGCAACTTGCTAAAAAATATGACGCTTTTTTCACGTTTCAAAAACTTTACAGTTTTTTGGTATTTCATGTGCTTTGTCACTACAGTGTAGACACTCACGTATGTTCTGTTTTGTCACTACAGTGTAGACACTCACGTATGTTCTGTTTTGTCACTACAGTGTAGACACTCACGTATGTTCTGTTTTGTCACTACAGTGTAGACACTCACGTATGTTCTGTTTTGTCTACAGTGTAGACACTCACGTATGTTCTGTTTTGTCACTACAGTGTAGACACTCACGTATGTTCTGTTTTGTCACTACAGTGTAGACACTCACGTATGTTCTGTTTTGTCACTACAGTGTAGACACTCACGTATGTTCTGTTTTGTCACTACAGTGTAGACACTCACGTATGTTCTGTTTTGTCACTACAGTGTAGACACTCACGTATGTTCTGTTTTGTCACTACAGTGTAGACACTCACGTATGTTCTGTTTTGTCACTACAGTGTAGACACTCACGTATGTTCTGTTTTGTCACTACAGTGTAGACACTTACGTATGTTCTGTTTTGTCACTACAGTGTAGACACTCACGTATGTTCTGTTTTGTCACTACAGTGTAGACACTCACGTATGTTCTGTTTTGTCACTACAGTGTAGACACTCACGTATGTTCTGTTTTGTCACTACAGTGTAGACACTCACGTATGTTCTGTTTTGTCACTACAGTGTAGACACTCACGTATGTTCTGTTTTGTCACTACATTGTAGACACTCACGTATGTTCTGTTTTGTCACTACAGTGTAGACACTCACGTATGTTCTGTTTTGTCACTACAGTGTAGACACTCACGTATGTTCTGTTTTGTCACTACAGTGTAGACACTCACGTATGTTCTGTTTTGTCATATCAAACTAACAAACTAATATAAATGATATCAAATCGCGAGTATTTTATGTTCCCACAGGCTCACTAAAATTTTATTGTGTCACTGATGTATTTTGAATTTTTCTAAAAATGCTCAAAACTACAATTAATGTTGCGATTTAACTGGGAAACTTACTTTTTAATGCGACTTTTCTCTAAAAGTCTCTTCCTGTCAAACGAGATAAAATCTCTATAGGCAGGATCGTTTGCAGGTAAATCCAAAATGACCGTCAAGACTACCTATCAAATTCCCTGAAATTAAAAATTCAATAAAATATTGTAAAAGTCATATGATATTCAAAACTGCCATGCAGCTGCCTCGTATGATCGTTTAGCATTTTTTGAGGATGAAACAACAAGTTGATAATACTGAATGATCAGTTTCCGCAGACAGAAATTCATTTTCAGGAAGAACATAATTAGAAATGTCGACAATAGATAAAATTTTGATCGAAAAATCTCTTACAACCTTAGAAACAATACCCAATTACGACTTGGGAACGCTATGTATCATAAACGAGAATCAAAACTTTACATACGTTTAGCAAATCCATACGCTCTAAGTACCCAAGTAACACCAGAAAAACAGAAAGAATTGAAGTCACGTTGAATAGTGGAATGCAAACTTCTTGTTCGGACCAGCAACTCCATATGCTTAAAGCAGCCATGTAACACTAGAAAAATAACAAGAATCCAAACCATGCTCAATTTTTTGGCAAAATGTACAAAATTTTCAGCTAGTGGAAACAAACTCTCTAAAGCTTCATTCCCATTTTGTACTAAAAACTACTAATAACTTTAACAAGTCAGACTTTTCCTCCCTTCTACATTTAGAACGGTTCCCTTTTTGAACATTGTACACTGCACTCACAGTGACTGCACAGTTGCTCCAGGTAAAATTTTTCTCTGAATATAACGTGCTGCAATATAACATAACTTCTTTGCGTGTACAGTATTGCTGCATTGACGCATTTTTATCGTTCAGCTTCGTTGAAGATTGCAACTGTGGATTTACAACTTTTCTTTTTTCTTCCATGGTAAAGTTCAATTGCTACAGTAGTCCCTGTAGACAATACATTTTTTTGTCAAACATGCATACATATTGAAAAAAACACAACAACTTGAATTATCTTTTCGAAAGCTAATCAAAATTTGTTCTGTCGAATGATTAAGAAGGAGATTCGCGAATTGTTAACCATGCGTAAATGTTGTGTTGTGCCACAGGTTTGTCAGCTTTTCAGCTGTTACGTGTCCCCCTCTATAATTAAAGTCCTTACTTACTATATAATTAAAGTCCTTACTTACTATATAATTAAAGTCCTTACTTACTATATAATTAAAGTCCTTACTTACTATATAATTAAAGTCCTTAAACATTGTAACCAAGAATTGGTAACCATGCGTAAATGTTGTGTTGTGTTTCATTCAACAAAATTTTATGTTCTTATCTTATACCGTCAAGCTGTTGTGTCTTGACTCCTTTCATAGCTTGTAGTTCTAAATTACATCAGAAACCATATAACATTAGTTGGACTCAAAATGAACACCAATATGTACAACAAACCCTGCAAAATGTACCCCTACACACATCAAACCATGCAAATTGTACCCCGACATACACATCAAACCATGCAAAGTGTACCCCTACATACACAACAAACCATGCAAAGTGTACCCTACATACACAACAAGCCATGCAAAGTGTACCCCTACATACACAACAAACCATGCAAAGTGTACCCCTACATACACAACAAACCATGCAAAGTGTACCCCTACACACATTAAACCATGCAAAGTGTACCCCTACATACACATCAAACCATGCAAAGTGTACCCCTACATACACAACAAACCATGCAAAGTATACCCCTACATACACAACAAACCATGCAAAATGTTCCCCTACACATCAAACCATGCAAAGTGTACCCTACATACACATCAAACCATGCAAAGTGTACCCTACATACACAACAAACCATGCAAAGTGTACTCCTACATACACAACAAACCATGCAAAGTGTACCCCTACATACACAACAAACCATGCAAAGTGTACCCCTACACACACAACAAACCATGCAAACTGTCCCTACCTCCCCATGTACATCCAGTCTACCGACTTTCAATCCCAAAGCGGCAAATGAATATATTTTGAAATTTAACTAAAGAAAAGAATGCTACCGATGAAAGAAGGCGAAAGGGAGACAGGTTTCTACAAATTTATGATGGTACTGTTGCAGGCTGTTGCATGTTTATGATTAAGGAGTATTGATGAATAAATCATGTCTGAGGGAAGTTATGTTAACTTTGTATCATAGAGAACGTTTGGTTTGGGATTTATTTTAGTATATCATCCAATTATAACTGGTTTTATATACGTTACTCAGTAAAAAACCACTTACGAATCCAGTTGGTGTTTCTGACGAAGGTGGAACATCGCTTAAAGATATCTGAAATATAAACATTGGAAATTAGACAAAAAGAAAGAAATTAAAAGATTATGGAGATATGCATTAATTCTTTTCATAAAAAACCAAGAAAATAAACAAAGATTATGATAAGAAGCAGTAAACTACATAAAACGAACATACAGCAAGAATTTGACGACAAGTAACATAAGACGAAATGAAACGAGAGCAGTTTCATAAAAAGATCAGAGCGATTCTCACATCACCACGTTGTTTAACTATGGTAGGAAATCAGATCTTTAAAGGTGAATACCAAAGTGGAAGGGGGATAGTACCAATTATCAGAAAAGAGAATACAATTTAAGAATATAACTACAATGATAGCGACCTGTAAAGATCGACCTTACTTTGTGACCAAGGAATGGTTACTGGCAAGATCGACCTTACTTTGTGACCAAGGAATGGTTACTGGCAAGATCGACCTTACTTTGTGACCAAGGAATGGTTACTGGCAAGATCGACCTTACTTTGTGACCAAGGAATGGTTACCGGAAGATCGACCTTACTTTACTTCGTGAGCAAAAATGTTGTGAAGGAAATCTTGCTCTGCATGCAAAAGTTTGAAAATATTTTCTTGAAAAACATGGCAAGACGTCTGTAAATCAACTGAGACGGGCAAAATTAAAAAAACAAGTTTTACTTACATTTCCTTTGATGTTAGGTGACGGTGTCTGAGATTGTATTTTACCGATCTAAAATTGTTTAACGTAACGTTAGATTTACATAACCACGTGATCGTGACAATTTCCTCATGAACCTACCTCCCATGAAAGCTCTTTTTTGATTGGATCAAATGAATAGGTACCAACTGAAAACATGGAACACAAGTCATAAATGTTGATGGGAAACGTCAATGAAGAGCAATGAAACATCAGACTGTAATGTTTAATATTTTATGAGTGTTTTTACCGTTTGTAGTCAAGTTAAGGTTGAGAACTTGTTTAGGAAATGGAACAGTCACGACAACATTCTCGATCTAAATAAGATATGGAAACATTGAGTGAAAAGACTTTGAAAAAGTTAATGTGTACAATATTTGACTTGGTATGATTACGTTGGGACGATATAGTTAGTTTTATACAAAATGCATTGAGATAATAAGTATGAAAAAAATGGGCTAGTTTAGGTTATATCTTTAAGTTTATAAATGCAAGAAGATGCAACAGCAGTTTAATAAATTGACATGATTATAAATACATACATTTTTACCCATAAGTGGTTTTGAAATTATCCACTCTGAAACGTTAATAAACCTCTTGAAACATGACACGCAGCATTGCAAACAATGGTCGCATAGTTACTCTAAGCAAAAAAACAAAAAATACCATCAAAATAGACAATTTAATCATAAAAATATAACTTTTTCATAATTTCTTAAAAGCATAATTGCTAATGCGCATTCAATATACACGACAAGTTTTTTCGAAAGATGTCTATTTAAGAAAAACTTGTCGTGTATATTAAATGCACATTAAAAATATAACTGCTAAAACACCCACCCGGTTGCCACGTTATATGATATTAAACGAAAACGACCATCCGGGGGGACGAATGACAAAATTTGTTCAGACTAAACTACACAGACATTTGTAGTCGCGTTCAAACGCAGTTTTAGTGCAAGATTGAAAGAAAAGTGTTCAATGTAAAAAGACAATTGTTATTAGTCATATTAAGAATAATTTGTGTTGACTTCGATCAGAGACAATCCATATTCAACATTCACACTTACGTACCACCCATCTTCTGAAGCGAAGACAAGGATGAAAACTGACATCTTCAAGGATGCGAGGATTTGTAAAACATATGTTGAGATTTATAATTAATAGAAATCTTTAATCTACAGATAAATTCAATTTTAATCTAGGGACCAGTGTGCGAATTAACGGTGTGCAATATGCAATTTGCACATCGTTTTAGCTAAAATGAAAACAATTGCACATCACTTTTTCAAACGATGTGCAAATATCAGCGGTTTTAACGAAAAACACTGTCGTAAATCATATGAATTTGTTCACGTTTAAAAATATTAATTTGGCAATTAGCGCTATATAATAATTAACGTAATATCGATTTGATTATGCCCATAAAGAAACACTTTTGTCAAAAAAATTGCACATCGTTTTTTCTGAACTAATTCGCACACTGCTAGGGACATAACAAAGTATCATAAATATACCAGGCATGCCAGATAATTTACAGTTGCAGTCAATCTGAAAGAACAAAGTTGAATAAAGGGGAAAAAATCTTTAAAATGTTGTACTAGAGAGTACATATAACAAAGTATAAAAAAAGGAAGGCACTTACAGTTCTTTGTATTTCTGAAAATATGGTGGATCCCTACACAAAACAGAAAATTTTAGGAATTTAAACATGCCATAAGTTTTCAGTTCGTACATGTCCTTAGTTTTAAATTAACATCAAACAAAAACAACAAACATATTTTTGTCATACATCTTCCACAAAGGGAACAAGAAATCCACAGTATTATAATGTTGTTACCTGTTTATCAATGATGGCATCAATGCTTTCGGCTACATCAAAATAAATCTAAAACATAAACAGAATTAATTAGCAATACTTACGACTAATTTGTGATAATTAGAATTAATTGGAAGCATAAAAACGGATTTTCTTTCAAATTTCTTAATGGAAGAGTGTGAATATAGCTACATACCTCATTATTTGCATATTTTACACCACTTCTCCTCCATGGAACATTGGACAATTGACCAGTTGGGAGATGACTGCTCATACTAGGAAAATATGAAATATTTAACTTAAATAATATGTAGAATGATCATAAATGTGTAAACTAAAACAAATTTAACTAAATATTGTAGTAAGTTACATATAAATAACAACGCAAATATAGAAATGTTTAGTGGTTTTACGGATTTGCTTTATATTTATATCTGATCCTTATATGAACAACATATAGATCACTACATAAAAACATGGCTCATATGTTTACTATAAGGAAGGTTCTTACTTGCTGTCTCCAGTCACTTTATTAACAACATTTCTAACTATACTAGGAGGTCTTATCAACTCTTTAAGAACATTTGACTCTGTAGCAAGAGGGAATCCATTATCCAACATCTCTTCCAATAACTGAAGAATATAAAGATATAATATCATATTTTACATCACACACAACAGAAAAAAATTGAAATTCATCTATCAAACAGCTGGATTCTCTACAAAATATACTAATCTCAAACCTCATATACGATGACACAATTTTCTTTAAATATGATTGTTTCAGTACAGTCAGAGAAATATTCTTTGATCAAGTCAATGACTCGATGAAGAAATTCAATCACAAACAAAGGTGGAACTGGAAAGGAATGTTTTTCAATTCATCAATAATAATAATCATGAACGTCTTCACCACATGTTGATGATATGAAGGCTAAATTATTTTTATCTACCACAAAGAATGCCTAATGCAATGCCTTTTGTTGAGTGATAACACTTCTTTGCAATGTAATGCATACTTTTTAAATTAAAACTAGCAATCAATCTCTTGATTGGATTAAAGGCAATTGATTCAAAATAAACATTAATAAAACATTAACTAACCTTAGTATAAACACAAACCTTCATTTTCAACAACAGAAACAAAGAAGAGATCATGGCGAAATATACTGATGAGATAACTGAATCCTGTTGCAATTACAGGAGGAATGTCTTCTGGAGAAGTAGCCTGAACATAAAAGATGATATTTAATTTGTTTAGGAGCATTTCTGTTAGACAAATATAACATGAAAACCGTTGATGAAAGTACCTTAAAATTTCTCAACCAAACAAGCACAAACAACAATTTACACATAAATTCATTTACCTTTCCTTGAGCTTCAAAGAAATAATCACAAACAGAGCGTCCCAAAACACTTCTCCAATGTTTTTCCAGAAATATATCCCTAAATGTACATGAAAAACATCATATGACCTTGTGACACACAGTCACCCATTTGGTGTAAAGTTGTGATAACTAAACAATTGAGGAAGCTGAAATCATTAAAATGGCATCATCTAACTGACTTCAACACTATTAAAATTACAGATATCAGGTAATATCTCACGATTTTTATGACATTCTTTATTTTTTCTGGATATTAATCCTGTCACATGATACTTCTCATAATCTACCTTCACTGGCTTCTGACATTGACCTTTAATATCTCACTGAACCTAGTCTCATTTTACCTCATTCAAATAATTGTAAAGTACTTCTCACAATAATCACAAGCTGATACGTACAAAACCAACAGAAGAGCTTTGTAAGCAAACAAATATAAAACCAATACATATTGTCACTTCCGACTCACCCTGAATGGTTGATGATAAACAAACTGTGAATCATTGTAAAATCCACAGATAATAAAACCTATAAAAATATATTTCTCCTTTAGTTAACTAGCTTAATGGTTATAAAACTATTTTCATGTAAGTTCATCTCGTAAATATTTATTCATATTATTGACAAAATTTAACCAACATTTAAAAGCGATGTTTCCATTTAAAAAAATTAAGATTCATGGAATCATCTTACTTGTCCCCAGACCACTGAAGAATCAACGGCCTTTACCAACTACCTTACCTAACTTATCTTTAATTATGGTCGTGAAGATTTTCGTCTCAATCCCATGATCCTAATTGATAACAAGTCAATGAATTGGAAGAGTCCCAAACAGTTATAAAATATAACGACAGATGAAATACCATGCACTAGGTACAAGGAGAGATGTTCTGTTTTAGTAGAATTTAATTTTGTTTATAAAAACGTATTTCGACATAGGAATGGACCGTGACTTCCTTCAGTTTTTTATGCACATGCTACTGAGTCTCCGGAATCTACAAACATGCTAAAACCTTAAACATAGACTGCATTCTGGAAAATAACTTTGTTCAAATCTTGAGTTTAATAAGTAAGTCTCGTTTTACTTGCTACGAACGCCCTGCAGTGCGCTAGCTGTTCGAATTTTGAAAGCTTGTCATTTGCATCATACAATACGATTTATACCAAAATGCTGAAAATCTTCCTTCTTGGTAATGTCAATGTACATAATATCCACATCCTAATTAGACAACCCTTCTTTTGATAACGGATGCACTTTAGTGAAGTCTTGCTTGCGATGGTTATTATATTTTAATGTTTAAAGGCGTAACATTGACTGGTAAAAGCTGCTGAATGCATTGCCAACAATCGTTCTTTCAACCAATAACTTAGTGTAGAAAGTTGGAGTACAAAACATGAACAAAAGGCATTAAATCAATTCACAACAACAAGTTTGGAAAGTACTCTCAGGCTCATATCATTGACTAGGTTTGGTTCTTACATACACCTTGATATTTCGAGAAGACACCTCTTTTCGTCTGGGATTTGCTGTCGGTACAACAAGAAAAAAAGCCCAGAAATATATAATAAACACTTGCATATAAAACAATACATTCAAACGCATGGGCTTCGAAAAGTTGTGTGTGTGCCATGCTAACTATGTGGTAATTCAAAATAGTTAAACTAGTGTGATAAATTTTTTGATATTTAATTCGATTTTTTTTTGTTCAACTGCATCATGTCACCCTCATTGAAAAGTTGGCACATCTGTATAAACCAGGTATTCAATATTTTATCAAATCTTATAAAAAATGCTCACAATCTAAAAATTGGAAGCTTCCGAACGTGCATAGCTTCCCGGCTCCTGAACCATTTTTTTTGTAGAGCTAAACGATCAAAAATTAGGAAAAAATGTGATTGACAATATGCAAAGACGAGTTGCATTAAAAGCGAGTTGTTGTTGACCAAAATTATGAGATTAATGACTTGGTTAACTGCATTTATGTTTAATTTGTAGTTTAAATAGCCATCAAAATAAATATAATCTGATAAAAATTCTCTTTTCAAGACGAAAAGCTTATCATTAAATAACTGATAACTCACGAATAATTGAGAAAATTGTTTTTTGTAAAGCAAGGCATGAGAAATATGGATAAATTGACAAATTGACTTGGTACAAATAACGAAGTTCATAGTAGAGATGAATAAAACACGGGATGTAGTCCAGACTGTTGGCTATCCTGCTTTTAGTTTTCCCGTGTTTTGCTAAAGTTTTTTTTAGGGAAAATGTCATAACAGGGCGATTGACCTTTACAAAATTCATGCCCGCAAACATGCACGAAGCAACTTTGACGACCACATACAATATTCAACTTGAGCCATCAAAGATTATGAATTTTTGTCATATCATAATGAGGACATTCGTTATGGAGAAAATACAGAGATGTTCACTAAATCTCTGATTGGATTAGAGGTAAGTGATTCAAAGTAACATTAATAAAACATTAACTAACCCTAATATAAACACAAACCTTCATTTTCAACAGCAGAAGCAAAGAAGAGATCATGGCGAAATATACTGATGAGATAACTGAATCCTGTTGCAATTACAGGAGGAATGTCTTCTGGAGAAGTAGCCTGGACATAAAAGATGATATTTAATTTGTTTAGGAGCATTTTTGTCAGACAAATATAACATGAAAACCGTTGATGAAAGTACCTTAAAACTTCTCAACCAAACAAGCACAAACAATAATTTACACATATATTCATTTACCTTTCCTTGAGCTTCCAAGAAATAATCACAAACAGAGCGTCCCAAAACACTTCTCCAACGTTTTTCCAGAAATATATCCCTAAATGTACTTGAATAACATCATATGACCTAGTGACTCACAGTAACCCATTTGGTGTAAAGTTGGGATAACTAAACAATTGAGAAAGCTGAAATCATCAAAATGGCATCATCTAACTGACTTCAACACTATTAAAATTACAGATATCAGGTAATATCTCACGATTTTTATGACATTCTTTATTTTTTCTGGGTATTAATCTTGTCACATGATACTTCTCGTAATCTACCTTCACTGGCTTCTGACATTGTTCAAGCTTTCCTTTAATATCTTACTGAAACTAATCTCATTTTACCTCATTCAAATAATTTTAAAGTACTTCTCACAATGATCACAAACTGATACGTACAAAACCAACAGAAGAGCTTTGAGAGCAAACAAATATAAAACCAATACATACTGTCACTACCGACTCACCCAGAATGGTTGATGATAAACAAACTGTGAATCATTGTAAAATCCACAGATAATAAAACCTATAAAAATGTATTTCTCCTTTACCTAACTAGCTTAATGGTTATAAAACTATTTTCATGTAAGTTCATTTCGTAAATATTTATTTATATCATTGCCAACATTTAACCAACATTTAAAAGCGATGTTTCCATTTAAAAAAATTAAGATTCATGTAATCATCTTACTTGTCCCCAGACCACTGAAGACTCAACGGCCATTACCAGCTGGCTTACCTTATTTATCTTTAATTTATGGCGTGAAGATTTTCGTCTCAATCGCATGATCCTAATTGATAACAAGTCAATGAATTGGAAGAGTCCCAAACAGTTATAAAATATAACGACAGATGAAATACCATGCACTGGGTACAAGGAGAAATGTTCTGTTGAAGTCGATTTTAATTTTGTTTAGAAAAACGTTTTTCGAGATAGGAATGGACCGTGACTTCCTTCAGTTTTTTATGAACATGCTACAGAGTCCCCGGAATCTACAAACTTTCTAATACCTTAAACATAGACTGCATTCTGGAAAATAATTTTGTTGAAATCCTGAGTTTAATAAATAAGTCTCATTCTACTCGCTAGGAACGCCCTGCAGTGGGCTAGCTGTTCGAATTTTGAAAGCTTGTCATTTGCATCATACAATACAATTTATACCAAAATGCTGAAAATCTTCCTTCTTAGCAATGTCAATGTACATAATATCCACATCCTTATTGGACAACCCTTTCTTTGCTAACGGATGCACTTTAGTGAAGTCTTGCTGGCGATGGTTATTATATTTATATAACAACCATCATCAAATCAAAGAACAACAAAATAAAACAAACCAAAATCACAACACGAAATCAAACAACAACAAAAAACTTGAACGTTTAAAACGCACTAAAACACGTACAAGATATAAACATGACGATAACTGGGTGAGGAATATTTCTTCCCCTTAACTGGTCCAAAAGGTTTGTTCTGCTCCTTTTTTGTGGATGAGAAGAGTTTATCAAGCATTTTTTCCGGATATCCATCTGAGAGAAATATTTTTTCAATGAGTTGAGATCACCCTCAATGAGCTTATCTGATGACAGTCTGATGACATTCTTTCCTTTGTGTGAAGATAAAGAGTCAAAGCGTGTGTACAAACCCGTAAAAGTTGCCTTGCGACGAATGCTTGTAAGGAGTTGACCATTGCGTTTATGGACAAGAACATCCAAAAACACTAACTGACAATTTGATTCAAGTTCAGATGTATAATTTAAAGAAGGGTGACGAGAACAGAGTTTATGTAAAAATAATTGGCGATTTTTGTAAATTATTCAAGAACTGGTCCAAGAGGAGAAACCATAGCCACCCCAACAATTTGTTTGTACATGATATCATTAAAACTAAACTAAACTCCTCTAGTGGCCGCTAACATTAATCCTCTAAAAGCCTCCTCGGACATGTGTGATACAGCCATGTCCGAGTGAAAAAGGTTATCAACACAGATTTCGATGGTTTCTTCTAAGGGCACATTTGTAAAAAGACCGGTTACATCAAAAGAGCACATTGTCAGATTAGGATGAGCAGAAGATCAGAGATGTATTATTTTTTTCTCCATAATTTTATATCTTCATATTTTGTGCATAAACAATGTTCTATTTTTTTGCGACAGATATTATAATTCGTGGATTGAGTTAGAAGAAATACTTAAAAATGAAACTTCCTACAGTGAAACAAAATCCAAGCATGACAGAGGAGAAAACACGACGCCAGGTTAAAGATGGCGTAAGGAAATTAAACGTAGTTAAAGCAAGTAGTGTACGCTTGAGAGTTTTGGATGAGGACTCCTTGACAATCAAAAACACAAATGGTTCCAAGCATGTTTACAACAGTTAAAGATCCAGTTGTTTGAGTTGATTAGTAAAAGTAACGAGGTGAGCAATTTTCTAACAACTTAAACCTTAAACAACTTCCCTTCATACATATTTGACAATCATGTTCACCGCTTCCTCAACAATATATTTGAACCCAAAGATCTTATTCACACTGCTCCTAAGAAAATCATGTACTTTTGTCTTCTTTTCACTGGCCTACACTGTCTTCAGATTCGCACTCAAATCACTCGACTTGCAAGGCTGCCTTTCCTCATATCAACGTTCGCTTTGTTTTTCGTTGTTCCAGGCGTCTCTCCTCTTTCTTTCCTTTTAAAGATAGGGTTCCCAAGCTCCTGAGATCTGGTGTTGTATACTCATTTAAGTGTCGATGCTGCTCTGCATCGTATGTGGGTCAAACCACGCGTCATTTACACACCAGAATATCGAAACACTTGGGAATCTCACCCTTAACAGGGAAACCTTCCTTATGTCCATCACTATCTGCAATTCTTTCCCATATAAGAAATACATCTCACTCTGCCGATTTTAATGACTTCTCAATTCTATGTTCCTCCTCCGTCAATTACGACCTTATGATTCATGAAAGCCTTCTTATATCCAAACTTAAACCCTCTCTTAACATCCAAGGCAACTCAATCCCCTTTCACCTTCTTTAATATACCGCCCTTCTCATTTAATTTCGTCATCTAAACTTCCTACTCCCCTCACATGTAATTTAACACCCTGTAATATATGCTTGTATTTAAGACCTCATGTATATAATTTATCTCAAATAATGTGAAGATGTGTTAAGTTAATCGGGAAACGTAATTATTAAAAAACCTTTTATCTTTCTTTATTTTATTATTGTGATGGCTTTTTTAAAAGTCTTATGTTGGGCTATTATGTTCATATTGAAAAGTCGCTTTCCGCCTGGAAAATCTCTGGCCACAACCTTGAATACTTCTTACAGTCGTGAACTCATGTTTTTATAGAGGTCGATATATTCTAGTTATTTTTACCACACAGAAGAGAACACAAACTTAAGCGGCTCGAAACTAAGAAGTTGTTTCTTTATTTACATTAATGTTCACAACACTTATCGCTGATAGAAATAACTCAAAATAGTTCAGATAAAAACGACAAACCGAAAGATTGACAAAGATAAAGCCAAGACAAGACTTCCCAAAAGTAATCTTTATTAAAAGGTTTACTTACGTGTCAATTTACAACTCTGATACTAACACCATCGTCACAGAATGCACAGAATACTAACTTAACTTACAATACCACTGACTATACGACAACTTACGGGTGTAGATAAAAAGCGGACGACGGACGCGGACGGCGGACGCAGACGACGGACGGCGGACGCAGATGTAAGACGAACGTCTGTTTGTTGTGTGGGAATTGCAAATGATTTATTGTAGGAGTTTGACAGTAATTTAAACGAGCTTTATCTTTCAGGATATATTTTTTGACCTCATTATTTAAAGCAATTAAACATGCATATTTCAATTTCAGTCATATAGAGTGTAACGCAATGAAACCTCATTGTATTTTTTTCGTGTTTTGTCAATGGCATTTCACTTAAAGTATACTTTCAAGATGTAACTAACGCACTGACTAACTTGCAACTGCTTCTAACCTCAGCTTTCAAAAGGAAGTTCAAGTTGAAAACTGCAATATACGTACTGCTTGCCAAATGACAAGTTGACGGAAATCATTATAGTGCAGTAAATATGAACAGGCACATCCACGTAAGGCCAACATGAGTGAAATGCCCCATTGACAAAACACGAAAAAAATACAATGAGGTTTCATTGCGTTACACTCTACATGACTGACTGAAATTGAAATATGCATGTTTAATTGCTTTAAATAATGAGGTCAAAAAACATATCCTGAAAGATAAAGCTCGTTTAAATTACTGTCAAACTCCTACAATAAATCATTTGAAATTCCCGCCCACAACAGACGTTCGTCTTACATCTGCGTCCGTCGTCCGCGCCCGCTTTTTATCTACACCCGACAACTGTCTCCCTGGATAAGTATTCATAGGATAACGATTTACGAATGATTAGTGGCTAAAAAACATGGCCGCCGACCCCTGTTTTTAGGAATTTAATCTTCAATTCAGAAATTTCTAGAGTTGGCACTAATACACTGTTGTAATATTTAAAGGTAAAATATACAAGAATTCAATTAAAATAACGAAACATGCACGGAGGCAATTAATAAGCTAGAGTCTCTCAGCAGTATTCATACTTTGAATTCCATACACACCAATGATACACACTACAATAATAGAATCAATGGAAATTAACTGAAAATGTAGATCTTGACTTAACAAGTAACAAATGACTGAAAGAGGCAGATCTGGCTAAGTATTTAAAAGACTGAAATTCATAAATGGCAGCTTGTGGCTTAAAATATACCATCTTTTGTCTCAAGAAAAATGCAACACAACTAAGCCTGAATAGACAAAAATTCAACAACTTTGACTTCGTCATCATTAACCTCCACGTACACAGATTTTGTTTTAACAATTTCAAAGCTGCAACAATAGAAATACTAGGAAATGGTGACAACCTCGCATAAAAGTGTCATTTTATTCAAATATTACCAATTTCCCCAATTCAATAAGTTGTTCTTTTTATGTGTATCAATGTTTTACCCTTTGCAGTGGTACTGTAGTGACGTACATAAACTTAATAGCGTTCTAGTACATTGAACTCACGCTCGGAGCTCAAACGAAAGACTTATATAACGCTAAAGTACAACGGATGTTGAGCACAGATCGAGCAACTCCTTAATTGCGTTACAAGTCATGACATCCATATTATATTGTTATATATAATTATATGTATTGTTATACATTGTTATACTTGAAGAAATGCTATGTATTACTAAATTACACATGTTAAAATTTATTGTATATTTTACATAAGAAACATGATGTATGGAAATCAAATTTAAATTTCATTCGCCTTCAGTTTTAGATCGTTAGTCATTTGTAGATAAAAAAATAGTTAATTATATAACATTGTAAAATCCAATGAAAATTCATAGCAATCTGGCATGTAATATCCAGCTTGGTTTCTTGATTAACTTGCTTAAGAGCCTCAAATTAAAACATACATAAAAGAGGATCTTGAATTGTGGTATCATTGATTTCCTTCTTGCCAATTGCTTTCCCATAAACCTCTTTTGCAGACAATAAAAAGACTTCATTGATGTGCACATTTTAGCTTTAAATTGAAAAAGATAATGTTCTTGTTTTTCCATTCGTCATTTGATTTGACCATTTACACTTAGGATAAATAATGCAAATAAATAAAATAAGTGAAATGAGCTGCTAAAAGGATTAATAACTCTAAGCGAAAACTCTCTTCTTTTTCTAAGCAAGCATTTTTCGCAATTTCAGCATTAATGCATACGACGTGAAAGAATTTGTTGACTTAAAGCAAAGTATACGCAATATTTACTATTGCATATGTGTTCTTTGAAAGTTTGACAATATAATAAGCTATAAGCTTCTTTTTACCATACGATAAAAATATGCCAAAGTCTCAGAATCACCATGATTCGTAGGTACTCTTCACTATCTTTGGATATCTGACAAATTGTTGATCTCATCTAAAGATTTTTGACTATTGCTAGTACAATCACACATGCTTGAACCGTTATTTTCAGTTGCACAAAATTAGAAAACGATGCACCAGATACAAGTGAAGAGATTACGGTTTTTGGTAGAATATTTAAGAAAATTGACACGTACACAGCATTAATTTGTTGTTACATAGCTATTTACCGTTAAGATCAGCGTAATCAATAACAGCTTCGCTTTTCTTTCCCTTGCCTTCTTCAAGTTTTACAGCATGTGCACTGTCTAACAAATGTTTGCAATGGCAATATACAGAATTCAAAACATATATGCATTAAGTACAGTAAATGAAGAAGAGAACTAGAGTGAAAATAACAAATATAGTGTCATGGACCCTAATTTATAGCTTGGCCATCAAAAATGAAAACTCATTTCTGTGTCTTACTTGGAAAATGTTTCTCTAGATCAGGTCTTGCCTTCCAGTCACTCAATCTTATGGCTCTGTGAACTAGATAAGGCAGTTCCTCAAAAAGTTGAAGAAAATACTCTTGATAGTTTCCATCTTTAACACATGATGACAATTGTGGACGAGGTTTATCATGCAATGCTGGCGAACGTTTCGTAAAAATCTTAGGCAACCTAACCATGTAGAGTCGGATACTTTATTGAAATGATTAAAGAATTCAGGATCGATACGGTCCATCCAATTTATTGAAAGATTCAACTGCTCACGAAGATTTGAGGGAAGAGAATGTCTTTATTTGAGGGAGAGATGATTTGATGTTTTATTTCTGGTTCATTCCCAACATCACACAGAAAAGCGAAATTCTCCTTATCGGTTTGTAGATAAGGGTGTTTTAACGCTTCGTTGGCCAATGGTCTGTCTTCCGGTTTTAGCTGTAGCATCCACGATAAAAGGTCTTTGAGCGTGGAATCCTTGATTTCGTCCAAGCCAACTGGGTTTCCTTTCAAAATGTTGTCCAGTCTATGCCGTTCAATTCCAAAGGATGTTTTCCCTTTGTTGCAACATAATAAGCCACCATTCCGGCATTCTATTTTCAATAAAAAATGGAGTTAATTTATTTGTTACTTGCAAAAATACAAGTTCAGTTCGAAAAAAATCAGAATAATGTTCTCCAATTAAGAATCGTAGCCACAAATTTTTTAGAGCAATCTAAATGAGAGACATACAATCGTAAAATCAATAAGGCAATAACAACAATTTATTATCATACATGTAAATATTTTTATATTTTCTACAGTACAATTTGTATTTCGCCACTATATGACTGTACAATGAAGGTAAAGAAAAATTATATTTAAAAGTGATAATGATCTCAGTGGCAGTGATTATGATATCCCTACCAAATACAACATTCAAATGCAAAAACAACATTGACCTGTGGTTGGCCTCTATTTCTACTTCAAGAACTTACCATAATGTCAGACTCCTTTTTGTAACGAACTTTATTAATTGTATCATCTGATGCGTCATATGACTCTGGAGCTATCCAATATTTAGCTCCTCTTTGTATGCTCCAATGTGTCGAAGATTCGTCAGATAACATATGACTTATGCCAAAGTCAGCGATTAAAAAATTTCCATCCACATCTCGAAGAACGTTCGAGGGTCTTAAATCCCGATGAAGAATAGGACGCTCACCGCTGTGAAGGTGAACTAGACCATTTAAGATCTGAATAAGAACTTTAGGAACGACCTTTTGAAGATCTTGCAAAGACGAAGATTTCACATAACTCTCTAACGATTCTTCACACAAATCTAATATCAAATACAAATTATCTGTGCCTGGTTCTTCTTCAAGAAACCAATAATTCACAACATAATTTGAACGCTTTGCATTCAACTCATTCAAAATATCTTTTCTCGTTTGCTAACTCCGCGCAGTTATCTCGAAGCAATCGTTTTACTGCTTTTCCGTAACCATCTTTTCCGAGTCCAAGGTAAACACGAGTTCCATCACTTCCTTTACCAAGCAAAACTCTTCAGAACAAATAACCTTTACACCATTTACAAGTTTAACTTTTCTTGGATTTCTGCCCATATTCTTCCATCATTCTGAACTTTTGCTGGTGCATTATTGATTTATCATAACATTTCCATGGTTGAGACAGCAATTCTTCAATCAAAAAGTAAAGTGGACTATTTAGAAAGGAATAAATGAATGTATCAAGAAGCAATTTAATTTTCTAATTGTACGCACATCAAAAAAATGTAGCTATTAGACAAGATTTGAAATACCTACACAGCTTTGCCCTTTAAGGTGAACTGACTTTTATATTTAGCTACTGAATAATGACATAATAACATGTTTGCCTTGTCTTGAGTTTATTTGTATTAACAGCGTATTTCCTGCTCCCAAACACACGGATGAGGGATATTTAGTTCAAAGGACGTTGAGGGACGTCAGGATCGTTTCACTTTAAATGGAAACATTGAGATTGAAAAATCAAAGATGAAAGCACCTGTCGAGGTGAAAAGAGTTCGGAGAATTAAAGAACCTAATGTTTTTAAGGTTACCTTCTGAAAAGCTTGTGTTTTTGACCAGAATTATTGGCCTTTTATTGGCTATCAATAATCAAATAATATGTTTTAAAAGGATGTTTTCAACAATATTCTATTTAAGTTAATTTGTGTACATGTAACGTATACATAAAACTGACACGTTGATCATGATGGTTTTCATAATTTACTTTTAGCATCATAGCCAGTTTTCACTTTCTATACATACTGATCAAATTTCTATGTTTACAAAGTTTAAAATTTTCACATGATTTTGATACACAACATTTGTATTATTTTTGAATTAAAAGATTTTAGTTGGCTACATATAACGATACCTTTTAAAATTAATATATTGGGTTATAAATTATTGTTTGTGTTTAGCGTTGAAAACCATGGAAATGTTTGGGCAAATGTTTGCTAACACGGTTAATACATCAGAGCAAGATAAAAGGAATACTTGCTGAGTTATTTCACTCTTCATTACATCTGACATTTTTGACCGTTAACCAAAGTATGTGAATAAGGAAGATATAAACCAATCTCAATGGTTACATTGCATTCTTGTTTCTACTTAATATTTCAAAAGGCAATAAAGATTACGTTTGTGTAAATATTTGCATATAAAATTCTATTACTTACTAGGTCCTGATGTAGAAGACGTTATACCAATATCAGCATCACTGTCATTATCATTTAGTAGATATAGCAACGATTCCTTTTCTTCAGAAGCTGAAGCAATGTAAATATGAAACATTTAAGTATGATAATATTACTAAAAAGTATTGCAACAAATGTAAGCTTTTATTTGTTAAACTCCACACAAAAAGAAAGTTTCCTTCTAGCTATTTAACTTTTTAACAGATTTTTGGGAGCTGTAAATGGTTGTTTGTTTACGACAAAGTGTCATATATTTTGTAAACAAACTTGATCATACTGATTTCGTTGTGAATGCTGAGTAAGATGGTCTTACTAGAAAGAATCTGAGGGTATTTTTACCGAATTGAAAAAGGATGTTCAAAAAATTATGTTAACTATAGGTATTTGGTTATGCCCTCGAATGGTAAGGAGTACTTTTACTTTTTACTATAGTCTGTTTTCCCTTTAATACTTTCTACATTTAATGCACATTATTTTGAGTTCTATTCAAGCCTAAAATCAAAGTAATTTAGTCACCAATAATAACAAATGATAATCGGATCGGTAATGCAAATTTTAGATGTTTTAATTGATGATCAGAAAAAGATATATCCAAAAGGATTTGTGACGTTTGCAAATGATAATAGACATGATGATAACGCAATCTTGGTGATATTTTCGTCGTCCTCTTTCCTAAAGATAATCTGGACGAGCGACGCAGGTATTCTAGTTTAAAAATGATAGTCCTCGTTTTCTTTTTAAAGCTTGTCTTAAAGATTTCTTTAAATCTTTTTTGAAAAATCTGCTAGTTCTCATGTAGATAACATGTGTAAAACTACATTTTTAATTCACATTTTTTGTAACTTTTTCATCAATGAAAAAACAAAATGTATCAGACAAAATAAAAAATGATGGTCCCATAATTTAAACTCTTATGTTTCTTCAACTTTATTTAGCAACATGTAGTTAATGGCATTAACACAAAACATTAATATACAACACACAAATGACACACAAAAGTACATAAGTAAAACAAAATACAGTTGACTACTCTACTGACCTTGACCTTTGTTTATAGTAAAAACATCAATACATTTTTCATGAAGATAAATGTATAAAATAAAATGGTAGCATCATGTAACCTTTTACTTTATTCTTTTAATGCAAAAGTTCAATTTTCTCAGTTTTTTGAGTAGCTAAATATACAGTTAGAAAAACTTGTATCAATATAAACCAACTTCCCTCAACTATACTCAGCTACGCTTCGGAAGATAACATTGACCTCGGTCTGAATAATTCTTGATATTGCTCAGCCTCATCCAATAATTTTATTACGCGCGGAAAATTCCACCTTGTTGAAAATAGCCTTAAATTACATTCATCACAAAAATTACAATTGTCGAATAAAATAAAAGTGCCCTCTTGAAAGAAAATGATTTCATCACTTGTTTACAAGGCCAAACAAGAACAGATTGTAACGAATCAACACTGTACATTGGTATGACGGCCGGATGTTTCGAGCGTCACACCAACCATACTCATCGTCCCAGCAATCGTATAGAAACAGAACTGAGCTATATAAATACGCATGGCTCAAGGAACGAGACAAACCATTTAATATCTCATGGTGTCTGTAGTAAAATGCGTATACCGTCAAGATTAGCATGAAGTAAATTGTACTGTGTATGTTTGGAAGAAACAATTAACATCATGAAGTCAAACCGAAAGTACGAAACATCCGAGATGTTAGCTAAATGCCTTGATAGGAAGCGCTTTTTGCGCATTTATGAATATTAATATTTGTATGCTTTTTGTTTTGCAACGTTTTCATGCTTCATGCATCACTTTCAAGCAACGTATAAGTACATAACCATATTAAAAACAAATAGCGTAAAACGGTGTTTGAAGGTCACGATTGCAATAATTGTGTTAAAGTGATGAAAATTAACTAAAATATTAAATAAATAAATTAGACCTAGTTACAGAATCAAAAAACATTTTGCAGACATCCAACATAAACGTACACATCTATACTCAAATCTACTTCAATGAAAATCAATATGACTATTGTTTAAACGATTCTTAATGACAATGAATTTAAACATACGATGGAAGTCAGGCTATACAGGTCATGAATACAATGACATTTGCTTTGTGCGATGTACATTTAAAGATTCGACAGATTCAACATAGATACGTCAGTTGCAGTCTAAGAGAACTGTCGGCAATGTATAGTACTATCAAAATGTTATTTAGAAAATAGTATCCACTGACGAGCAATGGATTACATGCGCAACAGGAAACCGACTACACATGCAGTATTTCTACACATGTATGAAACGCTTTTTTTTAATTGAAGATTGGTGTACTTCATTAAGTACATCATAACGGAAAAGAAAAAGATAAATGAGATTTCGTAGTTTACGTGAATCATCAAAAATCAGCATCATGTAAACATATATTGAAAAGACTTATCTACCTATTTTTGGAAGTTCACCCAAACTTCTTTCATCGTCTACTATAAAAAATAACATGAGACATACGTACGTCTGTTTTTTGTATCAAGTATATTGTATAAATGTAATTCAAAGTTATACATATTTATACATATATAACTTTGAATTACATATTCAAACAATACTTGATATGATTTACTACCCAGTGTTTCACGCCTATATTGACGATTTTCAGTTAAATTAAAATAATAAAACTATGGCTCTGTTAATCAGTGAACTTATGTACTAATCATCATGTAGATGATTTCACTGAATATTCAAATTTAAATTGAATCAGTGGTTTAACTTAACCTTATAGTAAGAATGTAACAACCAACGTTGCAAACAATTTCTTTGCATGATAGAAAAGTATTTAACCACCCTCTTTAAATCTTTACAAAATCTTAACAGCACAAACCGCCCAATATTAAAAGCACAATCGTCAACCACAACCGTTCTATCACAAATAAATCTAAAGCCTTTTTTTAACCAGGCGGAATTTTCCGCGCGCGACGCTAAATTTGCAACATGATTGGTTGTCATACAATAATGACAAAATCATCTACCAATCATGCGCGTTATTAAGCCCTTAATAACCGAGCTTGAGGTCTTTACGGAGAAATATCGGACCGATGTCTTTTTGTAAAGACCGAGCCCGTAGGGCGAGAGAACATCAATACTACCTTGGTTCAATTAATTTATCAACTGAACTTTTAATTCTCTCCGTATCTCCTTCACGAACCTCAAAGCTTTACTAAGATGGAGACTAAATTAGGATATTTTAATTAAACCAAGTTGAAATATTTATTTAACATTTACACCTTAACGTAGCCAGCCTGCACATTTCCTATGGTTATGTAAATTCTCATGGATAACCATTATTCATCTTTTATAAATCTATTGTTCTCACAGCTAGTAAACACAAAACATTTGGATACAAGCGGGAGTAAAAGTCGAGCTGGCTACGTTACTGCATTTACACCTTACACAATAATACATTGACCTAAATATATATAAGCAATCAAGCAAACTCTAAAGTTTATCTCCAACCTTACTTTTGGACATGAAAGTAAAACATGTCAGACCAAGCCTCAAGAACTTGGAGTCATTATTCGAAAACTAATCCTTGCAGGTGAGTAGTGGCGTTGCTATCCCACAAATTTAGTCCTGCTATGTAAATTTTAATGTGTTTACTTACTGTGAATAAAACAGATGGGAAAAGAACAATAATGATCTGAGATTTACATAGCATAAACAAAACTTGTGGGCTGGCTGTATGTACAAAACTATACTTTGATGCAGCTGCTCAATCTGACAAGATCGTGCTTTGCTTTGAAAAATTAGACAACCACTCATTCCAACTTCACTTACCAGTTCTTTTCTCGTTTTCATTTAACTGCATGATTCCATCAACGGTGTCTTGCGGAACTTGATCAGGCAGCTTAACATCCAAATCCCTTTCTATCTCATGAGCTAAACCTCCTTGCTTACACTCTTTCAATGCTAGGAGCAGTGCTCTTACATTGGCATGTTGTCCGTCTCTATCAAACCAAGTGTCCAACACATATCGTGTGGGGTTACCAGAGAATTTCTCAGCAATGATGTTTTCTTTACCTTGTGGCAAATTCACTGCTTTGTACAGGCTTGAAAAAAGTCAATTTGTGCTCAGTTAAGGAATAAAACTTTACTAAAAACATTTAGTTACCTAAAGATAAAACATCAACTGAGTTTAAAAAAACTTTAATTCATTTGAAAATCACCTTCTCCAGTCATTCTCTAATAACTCATTGCCTTTGTTTAAGCGTTCTTCTAACTTTCTTTAAACATGGTCAGGTAGATCTGAACAGGTTGTTTCAAGATTAAACTGGGCTGTGGTCTGCCCAGTCAGATGAGCATTTGTTGGCTCCTGATAGAATTGTCTCTCATCAATTAGTTCGCCAGAATGAGTAGCTGACAAATCAGTGAGATGAATTTGACTTACAGGATATGTAAAGGGATAAATATTTATATGTAATAACAAGGAGGAATAATTATTACATTTTTTACATACCTTTTATTGACTGCCTCAAATCATGGGCAAGTTGCGGCTGATTTATATCTAAGGTTTTGAAAAAACATTGGAATGCATCAGGCCCTAAACGCGGAAGCACATCACATATAAGCTTTTCCACTTTTTTGTCCAAAGATAGTTCTTGCAACACAGCTCTGATGTTGACACCAGGATTTCTGCTTGTGATCGCCACATTGTTGGATAAACTTTCAACCATTTGAGCGACATTAAGTGATTGCTTAAATGTGGACAAATGGCTCACAAGAATTTGACGATGGACCTCTTTCATTCCAGGCTCTTCAGTTTCTCCTAAGTAAGACAGTGGTAAAATAAATGGTTTAAAACTTTCTGATGTTTCTGTTTATATATAAGAAGATGGTTTTCATTAAAACTTCTGCAAGTGAAGTCGATATTTGCATTCTTATCTTCTAGAGAATTTTACATCTTCAGAATGAATAAATAATAGACAGGCAAACAAGCTCACAGTACGTAATATATAACAGTATAAGAAATAAAAAATGTCGTACTTTGCGTAGCACTAGGAAGTATATGGTTCACATTAAGTCCGGCTAAGTCAGCCAAGTATTCCCCAACCCATCTTTGAACTTTAAGTGTCGCTCTAATAAAGGATATAAATGCTTCATCTCCTCGCCGATGCAGCAAATTAAGAAGTTCCAAAGTACGAGCTTCAGGGGTGGATTCTGCTCGAATTTTGTCTTCGCAGTTACGATCCAGAACGTCCGTCATTTGTGGCCAAACAGCATCAACCTCAAGATTTCTTTTGATATATTCCCTGTTTTTTCTTAAAAATTCGCGATGCGCTTCAGACATCGCCATTATCACCGAATATCGGAAATACAGGCCCTTCGATTTCGTTGTAAACTATTCTAGAGCTTTTCTACACGTAAACATTCCTTGGTAAAGTTACAATTCCCACTTCCCATTCATCGCAATGACAGTGGTAATGACGTGTGAAGGTTTTTCCCCCGCTGGGCCGCTTCCCCAAACTCGTCCAGCGTCTTAACCAGGGTCCTACTCTCCCCTGTTTTTCAGCAAATTTTCATCTTTCTGAAGCAGCTCGATTAAGAAGAAATAACATTATTTGTCTTCTTTTTAACATCAAAATGAACAAGCTATTGATAGTTTGGTCAGTAAAGAAGTAAATAAAATGTGTATATTGCGTTGCTGAATTATAGAGAAAATTCTTAGCCAACACTGTATTTTTATAATTTTTTGTTCTTGTACATTTGTACTTTAGGAATACAAATTGACATGAATGACATAATGACTATTTATCAGTAATATTTTTAAGACTGAAGTAGTGTACATAATGTTAAATTGGATAGTATTGCTTGGTATTGCCCTGGTATTGCCGATTTGCAATCGACTCTGACCGATGATTCTGACAGATGGGATACAATAAACTGGTCATTCTTTGGTGGGTTTTCGAAATGGCCTAGTTTTTGTTGGTTGAGGTAATGTGCATTTTGACATATACATGCTTCATACAAAGTAATTAATTTCACCCTTATAACCTTTGCTATCACAGGTGGGATGACTTGACTGTCTATCAAGCAAAGTCACGCTCTGTTATTTTTTAAGAAACATTTTCTTATAATGGTGAAAAAGCCATGGAGAAAAATCTTGTACGAAGAACAAAATTACCCAGATAATTATGTTGACGAGTCTTTCCTGTATGAACTGGAAAAAAATGGTAAATATTTGAGTGAAATCTAGGAATGGTAAAAGATCGATAATTATGCCTACGATTTGAGTTGGATGCGTATAACGAAGTATATTTTTTAGTATACACGAGAAACTATCATTTCTGGATTGTCTCCAATGAAGCTGGAAGAGTTTCACAACAATTTAGCAGGTTAAAATCAGGCTATCTTTGACTATCATCCTGTTCGTCAATTCAATTTTTGGGAACTGGTTGTTTGTTTACGACAGTGTCATATATTTTGTAAAATTGATCATACTGACTTCGTCGTGACTGCTGTGTAAGATGGTCTTACTAGAAAAAATCTGAGCGTATTTTTACCATATCGAAAGAGGATCTTCAAAAAATTATGTTAACTATAGGTATTTGGTTATGCCTTCGAATGGTACGCAGTACTTTTACTTTTTACTATAGTATGTTTTCCCTTTAATACTTTCTACATTTAATGCACATTATTTACAGTTTTACTCAAGCCTAAAATCAAAATTTCAGCATTAATGTATACGATTTGAAAGCATTTGCTGACTTAAAGCAAAAGATACACAATATTTATTATTGCATATGTGTTTTTTACAAGTTTGACAACATAATAAGCTATAAGCTTCTTTTTACCATACGATAAAAATATGCCAGTCTCTGAATCACCATGATTCGTAGGTACTCGTCACTATCTTTGGATATCGGACAAATCATTAATCTCGTCTAAAGATTTTTGACTATTGCTAGTACTATCACACATGCTTGAACCGTTATTTTCAGTCGCACAAAGTTAGAAAATGATGCACAGATACAAGTGGAGAGATTACGGTTTTTGGTAGAATATTTAAGAAAAGTGACACGTACACAGCATTAGTTTGTTGTTACATAGCTATTTACCGTTAAGATCAGGGTATTCAATAACAGCTTCGCTTTTCTTTCCCTTGCCTTCTTCAAGTTTTACAGGATGTGCACTGTCCAGAAAATGTTTGCAACGGCAATATACAGAATTAAAAACATACATGCATTAAGTACAATAAATGAAGAGGAGAACTAGAGTGAGAATAACAAATATAGTGTCATGGACCCTAATTTATAGCTTGGCTATCAAAATGAAAACTCACTTCTGTGTCTTACTTGCAAAATGTTTCTTTAGAACAGGTCTTGTCTTCCAGTCACTCAATCTTATGGTTCTGTGAACTAGAACAGGCAGTTCCTTAAAAAGTTGAAGAAAATACTCTTCATAGTTTCCATGACAGTTGTGGACGAGGGTTATCATACCAATGCTGGCGAACGTTTCGTAAAAATCTTAGGCAACCTAACCATGTAGAGTCGGATACTTTATTGAAATGTTTAAAGACTTCATGATCGATACGGTAAATCAATCTATTGAAAGATTCAACTGCTCACAAACATCTGAGGTAAGAGAATGTGGAGATGATGTCTTTATTTCTGGTTCATTCCCAACATCAGTAGTAATATACATGGGGGTTCTAGATCACAAAAAGTTTACTTTTTGTTATCTATAACTCCCCATGTATATTACTACTACACCCGTGGGTAAAAACTATCTTTATAACAACATAAAATAAGACCATGGTTCAAAGACGTCCCTCTGGTAAAAGGTCATGTAAAAAAGCTGTGTAAAAAATAGTCATTATTTCAAAGGGGGTAAAAATCTCGAATTATAATCTATAGTTTAAAAATATGGAATCTATATGTTTTAAAAACGGTCTTTACAAACAAATGTTAAGAAAGCATCGGTTCGGAGGCGATCCGGCAGCGCAAATTTTAGCGTAGCTAAAATTGAGCAGGGGGATGGGATCGCCGAGAATTCATGCGAGCCCGGTGGGTAAAAAATTCTAGCTTTAGCTAGAATTTTCGGCTCGCCCCGTTTTGTCCGAAGGACGACAGAGGCTTAAAAAATGCTCTTCAAAAAACCGTCTTTAATAATCAAGTGTTAATAATCAAGTGTTAATAATCAAGCGTTATTAAAATATCAGTAGCAGCGCGCTTTATAGTCGACTGGTATATTGGATTAACTAGTGGTCTTTAACAATGGTCTGAAAACTCAGCGCGTGGTAGAAATATTCTTTAATAATCAAGTGTTAATAATCAAGTGTTAATAATCAAGTGTTATTAAAATATCAGTATCAGCGCGCTTTATAGTCTACGTGGTAATTTGGTTAACTAGTGGCCTTTAACAATGGTCTTAAAACTCAGCGCTTGGTAGAAATATTCTTTAATAATCAAGTGTTAATAATCAAGTGTTAATAAAGCATCTTTTTAAATCGTTGTGTCGGGCGATAAATTTCAGGCAACTAAGCCTGAAATTTTGAGCGCAACAATGTCATAGATGCTCTTTAAAAACTATGGAATCTATATGTTTTATATAATTTTTGTTAAAAGTGTTTTTAATAATTGTTTCAGGATTTTGAATATTTTTGTATATCGCTTTTGTATTAATTACTTATTACAAACAGTTATGTGATATGTAGTCAAACATGAGGAGCAGGTATGTATGATTTTACTCTAACAGAGGCCCACGCTACATGCTTACTACACATTATAACTGTTTGTTAATATTTAGTTATTTGAACCGATATTATAATGGCCATAAGCTAATGTTGTTACACCATCATCTAATATATAACGTTTATCATCAAAACAACTTAGTGATACTTTATTAATCTCATAACTACTAAGTTGATGGTTTACACTTCTAATAGTTTTCATTGTATGATGCATTTGTTTGTTTTCAAATAGTGTTGTTTTATAGTCTTCATGTTTTATTTTACTCTTAATAATATTTTTCTTAATTCCTTTAGCTTTTTTATCTCCTTTATTATTATCTTTAATATAACTATACATCTTGCTTCTTAAACCAACAAATTCTTTAATTACTATTCCAGCAACTTCATCTTTCATTTTACCAATAACTTTTTTATTAGTTTTATCATGATATTTATGGTATTCTGGGTAATCACTAAAATCAAATTTATCTTTATCAACCCAAAAATCTTGATAGGCATCTTCAGTTTCAATTTCATATGTTAAACTATCTGTGTCTGTGAAAAGAAGTTTAGCTTTATCACCATATTTTTTCTTGATATAGTTGTAATGAAAATCGTACATTAATACTTTAGATAAATCTAAGATACACATACCCACATATGCAGGCCTGTTAAGGGTTAGTGTTTCTTTGATCTTATGCACAGCCACAAGGTTCTCATTAAAGATCTTTGAACTTACATAAGTAGGTTTTGAAGCTAATTTTAATAATTTATTTTATTAGTTACTAGTCTAACATCTACTCTTTTCGTAAGTTTTCCATTGTCTTACCGAAACCGAATTATTCATGAGTTTGAAAAGTCTTTTCAAAGTTATTTTTGCATTAGTTCTTTTTAGTATTAAAGTCTATATATTTTTTCAACCATGGAGATTGATTAAATTCAAGTACTCTATGTACTTTTTTTAACTTTAACCCAAGATCTAAATATAGTTGAAGATTTCTATAATGTAAAACGTATTTGTATTTATTTTTTAAAGTCGGAATCAGTTTGCTTACTAAACCTGTTGATATATTGTAATTAGAAGCAATTGTCTTACAATATTTTGATAACATATCACTAGTGACCATAATTTTTTCGGGTGCTAATGGATAATCGTTATGTAAATTATGTAGTTCTTCAGTGTATTCTAAATCAACTTCTAAAATTAGACCTTTTTTATTATCTTCTTTATATGCGGCTAAATTTATGTTGTTAATCTGTTTATCAGTTAACCATTTGAAACCACCAGTAGGTAGGTATTGTGACATAGCCCATCCATACAGATTGTTAGCATCTAAATACGTTAAATACTTCGATGGTTTATTCTTATCAAATGTTTCCATATACTTGTTATTAGATTTACCATATCGATTAGAAATATAAGAAACACCTCCTCTCATACCCTTTTCAATAAATTGAAACATATCAATATCTGTCATTAATTCTAATTTAATATCTGTCATTTTAAGCATAGCATCCCACGACAGCCCTGGTGATGTAAAATAATGACATGGGTCTAAGTTATAGTATTCTAAGCATGTTTTTCGAAAGTTTTCAAATACATCAACTAATAATAAAACGTCTGATTTCAGATACAGGTCGTGATAATCACCCATGTTTTTGAGATTGAATGTATTCCAAACATTTTGAGCATGATTGTATTGTTCATCTGATATATTCTCATCAGTAAGAATACTATAAAAGTCTTCTTTTGAAGGCAACTCCTCATTAAACTTTTTAAACGAATTCATATAATCATATGGGTATATACCTTTTTTAGTCATTAAATTAAGTTTTTCACCTTTAAACTGCTTAGAGGTGTATTTAAACGATTCTTTAGGTAGGTTACTAACAAGCTTTTCTAAACTAGAGCTCATAAATTGAAAACTATCAAGAAATGTTAAATGGTTTCCTAACATAAAAGCCATATACTTTTCCATATTATTAGGTATAGCATTTATATTCATATGCGTTTCTTCACCTTTTTTGTTTTTGTATGTATGCTTATTAACAATAGCTCCGATTTCTTGCATAATAAAATGGCTGTCATACCCACGCAGATTGTGAAATATTACTGGGATTTTAAATTTATCAGAGTCTATTCTAAGTTTTAAATTACAATCTTGATGAGCTGACCCTCTATATTTTCCAGTGATATGACAATGGTCTCGAACTCGAATATCTTTGTTAGTATATTTTTTGTTACAGATATGACATTCATCAGCTTTTTTAAATTTTTCTTCATCATCAGAGGTCATTTTTAATGGTTTATTAAAGTAGGTTTTCATAATATTTTTACAATATTTAACTTCTTTTAACATAGCTTCCATAAATTTGTAAACAGCCTTTTCACCCCTATATAGTTGAATTGGTTTCGTGAATTCATCATCATAACAACAAACAACTTTATATCCATAACCACAGTCTGTATGTTTCTGATAGGCTTCTGTATATGATTTTTTATTATTTTGGGTACAATTAAATATCTTTTCTGTAATAGACTCAAAATCGCTATATATAATAAATGGTACTGGTTGTTGTTTATGATAGTTGCTGAATTTAAGTATGTTGTTATTTTTATCAGGCATCCTTATTGATTGTATACCATTTATTAATATACAGTTTTCTATATGGTTATTTAATATTTTTTCAGAACTAAAACATTGAAGGCAACGCATACAAAAGTGTTTCCTTTCCTTATGCTTTGTTTGATTGTACATAAATGCATTAAAATTTTTTATTAGAATATAATGTTTGTTTTCATTATCAGTTATTAATAGTAGTTCCATATTGTCTTCAAATTTTTCTTTTGATATATAAATGGGGTATGGTTGCTTATTTTCATAACCGAAGACATTAATGTTAATTTTGTTTTGCTTTTCGATTTTATTATATTGTTTAACAGTTACTGGAAATTCGATCCCAGAGTAGTCTAATTTGTTAATATATTCCTTATCAGATTTTTTAATCCTTTGTGGGTATTTATTTTGTGGGTTAATATATCTAATATGGCACCACATAAAACATTTATTGTCTTTATTTTTCATATTTATCAAACCCTTTTTAGAGTTTTTAAGTTCTTGAGGTAAATTAATGTATGAAGACCCTTGTAATGGTTTGTATTTAACAACATTAAGATAATGATTATCTATAGATTGAATAGACCATCCAGAACCTTCTTGTGTAAATTTACTAATCTTATTTAATATATTTTGTTTTGAAATTTGTAGTGATTCATTGATTTCATTAGAATTAGTAATTGTTAAAGCTGGGCTGTTGAAATAAGCTGTTTTTGTTAAATGATCAACATCACCACCATATTTTATTTTAATTTTTTCAAATGTTACCTCAAGCGTTTCAATAAACTTTAATCCTTTCATTGTTGTTAATATTTCTTTAATATAATATGTAAGATACTTTCTTGTGTTCTGCAATTGTATTAATGGCATTTTAATGTTCATAATACTTATTCTATATGACTTTGTATAACCTTTAAGAGCATTGTTTGTTTCTATTATTTCAACTCTTGGTGTTGGTAATGGTTTTTTATTTTTATCTGATAGCATCTGTGTATTGTTCTCATAATCTTTAACCATCTCTTTTACACTCTTTCTTGGTTTGGGGACTGGTGTTAATACTTTGATTAAT